GAGGAATGTTGGACTTGTTATAATAATAAATTAAAAGTTGATTTCTAAAGACAAATGCATTTCTCGTTGAGATACATTTAGTTTTCTAACACTCTGTGCAGTGTTTGTCATGTTTCGGCTGTGTGGCAGGCAGGGATTGGACACAAACGCAAACTCACGGGGACAGAACTTGAACTCAAAAGCACAGCTTTATTGCTGGAAAATAGAACACAAGCAATACAAAACTAAAGTGGGAAAAGCTAATTAAAATGCATACCAGAAGGCACGGGGAGAGTCACACACAGCATGAGGGACGACGCGACACTGACTCAGAGAAACACGGGGTTTAAATACACTGGGAAGTAACGAGGGGAATGAGACACAGAAGGAGGGCACAGCTGGGAGAAATCAGGACTGACGAGACAAGCAAAGCAGGACACATTCACATAGGACACGGACCATCAAAGTAAAACAGGAAGTATCACACAGAGACGCGAACTTGACACAGTGGAGACAGCAACTAAGAAACACGGATGATCTGATATCCTCGTGTTGGTGTTGTTCCCAGACCATCATGAAAATGTTGTTCCAGGTTCAACATTGCAAGTGACCAATCACATTGTTGTGACGTTATTCTTTTGCGCGCCAAGCCATTCGTGCATTTATGAAATTCCAATGTTGCAAGGACAATATCAATTCTGCTTACTGTTTATTAAAGGGTTACGGTTAGGGTTAGGGTCAGGGTCCGTTGATCGGTGGACAGAGGCAGTTTCACGCAGCTTTAGTACAGTTTTTTGTTTTACGCCGGTTTTTCCCGAAGTCGCAAAAGTATGACGTCACAACATTCTGATTGGTCACTTGCAATGTTGATCCTGGAACAACATTTAGTATGATGATCTGGGAACAACACCAACACGAGGATATCAGATCAACCAAGAAACACAGAGACATAAACCATAAGGCAGAGGACTCTAAGAACCGAGAGACACAGAGGGGAACTCAAACATGCAGACACAGACTACACAGAACAGAGGGGACACAGAGAAACATGAAGGGCAAGGGATCGAAACTAGAAACCATAGAATAACTCACACAAGTACAATAATACAAACATCACAAAGAACTAAAAACGCTGGATCAGGAGACCCAGGACTGTGACAGTACCACCCCCCCTTAAGGGCTGGCTCCAAACAACCGAAACTCAGAAAAACAAAACCAAACAGAAAACAACCCAGGGCGGGCGGCGGGGGCCCAGGACGGAGGGCTCGGAACAGAAAACAAAAGCAGAGCACAGCAAACACCGGAGCCCAAGAAAACAGCCCAAACACAGGGGCAGTTCAGGGGGCCGACCATGCGGACGGCAATGGCGGCGGCGAAACAGTTCAGGGGGCTGGCCGCGCGGAAGGCAACGGCGGCGGCGAAGGAGACGACGGAGCTGTTCAGGGGGCCGGCCGCGGAAAGCGGCGGCGGCTCTTAAGTGTCAGGCGTACTGGCCGAGGCTCGGTGGGCACAGGACCAGACGGCAGCTCAGCAGCTGACGCTGCAGACGAGGATGGACCACACGAGGCGGAAGCAGAAGCTGATGATGCTGATGCTACAGACGGGGATGAAGCTGATGATGCTGGAGCTGGACCAGGCGACGGCGTGGGTGGAGACGCGGAGGCTGCACCTGGCGAGGAAGGAGACGTGGAGGCTGCAGCTGACGAGGAAGGAGACGCGGAGGCTGCAGCTGGCGAGGATGAAGCCGGAGACGGAGGCGCTGCAGCTGGCGGCGGCGTGGATGACACTGCTACTGCAGACGTGTATGAGGCTGCCGGTGGAGCAGCTGGTGGCTGGACGGGCCCCTTGGGCCCCCCAGCGGAGACAGGTGGCTGGACGGGCTCGCCAGAACCCCCAGCGGACGAGGCGGGTGACGGCGCGGGAGCCACGGAGTGCTGGATGGACTCATCTGAGCTTTCTTTACGATCCGTGTTTTAGTTTTGCAAGAACCGTTCCTGTGAGGACACAGTTGTATATTCAGCTGGTGGAGGCCAAACAAGAGATAAAAGAAGAGTGAATACTGCCTTTTATGAGGAGGATAATTAGTACTGTAAATCAGTGCTAAACTAAGTAGAAAATGATGTGCTATTTCCAAAAACCTAAATGAAAGGCATTAGCTCAGGGGTGGGCAATCTCAGTCCATGAGGGCCGGTGTCCCTGCAGGTTTTAGATGTGTCCTCGAACCAACACAGCTGATTTAAATGAACTAATGAACTAATCATGTGATTCAGGTGTGTTGACCCAAGGTGAGACCTAAAACCTGCAGGGACACCGGCCCTCGTGGACTGAGATTGCCCACCCCTGCATTAGCTGGTAGGTTTAAATAAAGTTTTGTATGTTTTACTCAAAGCCCTGCTTCAGATTGGTCACCTGCCCGGGGTGTGACCTGCCTCTGAGCCTGTAGTAGCGAGATAGGGTCCCGCCCCCTATTAGGAAAAAGGACAAAAGCCTTTATTCAGAGCTAAACATGATAAAAACATATATAGTTGCCGTGAAGTCAAGTGAGCTGCATTTCAACAATAAGATCAGAATTAATGTTTGTGTTCTGGGGCAGTTTGTCTGAAACCTTGTTTTGATTGTTTGCTTTACTTTTAATGCATTCTTACATTTTCCTCATATGAACTTTTATTGTACAAGACTGAATTTGACCTGAAGCTATTTTTATTCTTACATCTGTCAGCTCTAACTGCACTCGCCCGCCTTCTCTGCTGAACGATAGTAACACTGCAAAGTGAGCCGAGCTGTTACAGTAGCTGGATTTTCATGGCGTCGGCCCAGAAATTAAAAATAAACCATCACGGTCCTCACTCGGTGTCAACCATCTTGTCCTTAGGAAGTCTGCCAGAGTCATTTGCAGCACTACACATGTTTCTGTGTTTCGTCATGCTCGTGTCCCAGAGGTGGTCATTTTAATGCCCTCGACCTCTGGGCATCATTCAGAAACACTGGCACAGTTTGAATGGTGGACCCAACACTATCAGCACTCGCGCACACTGCTGCACCACAACACTGGAATGAACGTTAGCGAGCCTACAGCTGAAACTAATAGGTATGAGCAGGAAAGAAGGCACCGCCATTAATCTCCAGTTAAGAACCAGATCTCCTCGGAGCCAAAGTGCACTCTCTGAACTCCGAGATAAAGGATGCACTTAATGGGTCCGTTTGTTTGATTTTCTTTCCTCTTTATTTGAACTGAGAGATGCTGCCACTGTTATCTTGCACCCCAATTTTCGTACATGGGTGTTTTTCCCCGAAACAAGTGGGATTCAAAGAGATCGGTTTCAAGCGTCATTGGAATTCACTGCAGTCTTGACTTTGGTGACCTTTATTACTGAAGAAGATAAGCATTTCTCTTGATGTGAAGCAGCAGTTTGATAGACTCTCTTTCAAACTTCTCGAAATTGTATAGAAAATCTAACTGAGCTTTACTTTTTTATCAGGTTGGACTGATACGCATAGTTACTGATGTTCCAGTAGAGCATATGTGTGAATTCTATCGCACACTTCCATGAACGTGCACCAGAGAGAAGTCCTGACAGTTTGGACGGCTTATTTGGGATGATTCAGAGGTCAGGGCGCTATGACATCACTGTGGGCTTACAGGGGGACTCTAGGTGCTCAGGGTGCTTTTCTGTTTGTAATTATAAAGAGCTGCTGATGTCATATCTGAAACCGATCACAAAGAGCACTCTGTTCGTACAGAACGTGAACACACACACAAGAACACGCACGTTTTCACATTCACAGAGACAGAGAAACAAACTTCTCTTCAGTCTCTTAACATTGTTGGTTGTTGTTCTCGTGTGTGGAGTCAGCTCCCAGCTTGAGAACTGGGTAGAGGTCTTTGCCCCTAGCTTTTGTTTTAGCATCACAGAAATGTGGAAATTTTAATGTCACATTTTTGCCATTTTTTGTAACTAATTTAACCTCCTAAGACCTGAACTCTTCCACAACATGCATTTTAAGTTTCTCTTTGATATTTGGGCTGATTCGCACCTGATGAATGTAAAAACCAAGAATTACCAGATTTTTTTTTGACCTTTTTTTTTTGTATCTGAGAAAAATGAGAGCCACATATGAGGATATTTGTTTAAAATTTCAATAGAACAGTGGCAGCATAATGTCCTCGTAAGTGGATATCAGGCCCTTGAAGAGCAAAATTGAGGATTTTGGCCTAAATAACCCAAAATGTGACGTCCACATGTGTGGACACCAGGTCGTAGGAGGATAAATATAAATTAGTTTGTGTATCCATGTCCTCCAAAAGTTGTACCCACTGCTTTCATAACTTTAAAAAAATGATATTAGCTGAAGAGGGTGGCAGAGTGGTTCAGTGGTTAGCATGGTCACCTCACAGCACCAAGGTCGTGGGTTTGAATCTTTCTCTGTGGAGTTTGTGTGGATTACTGTGACTGAGAAGCCACACCGGCGGTTTGGTTCATTGGTTATTCTAAATTGACTGTAGCTGTGTCTCCAACCTTTGACAACTGTAAACTTGACTCATAAATACAAATGAACTCATGCTGTGCACAGGCTCAGTTGCAAACTACTTTTAAATTATTTAAAACATTCAGAAATGACAGCAGAAGTTGTGAACCAGTGATAAGTACATGCACTTCTACCAACACTCACCCTTATATGCCTTTGTGATTTTGGGACCACACACACACACACACACACACACACACACACACACACACACAGGTGGGTAATTATTGATATTCACTCCAGATTAGGGATGTTAACAGAAGACATGTTTATCCAGTTTTAATACAAACACAATGATTGTGCTTGTGTTTGTCATCGGATCAGTGCAGGTCAGAAGGTCTGTTAATGTGAACAGGAATGGAAGCCAAACTCAAACAACACACTCCTGAACCAAAAATACCTATGAAAGGAAAAAGATGAATGGTAGTGGGATGCAACCGAATAAAAGGCTGAATTAAAAACAGAGAAACCTGTTCCTTCTCTCTCTGGTTCAGGTAGGATGAGATCCAAAAGCAGTGGGGTGGACACCCCAGCCAATGGGGTACTTGGAGTTCCACAGGGTGACCAAGAACAGGAAGTGAGCCTGCCTGTGAAGACCCTGAAGGCCAAAGTCCAGCAGAAAGATGGTGAGGAAACAGTGGAGGTCGAGGTGATCTCTGACAAAGACAAACCGTTGGATTCCTCCAAGGCTGGAGATAAAAGACAGAACATCCTGGATCTGTCTAAAGAGGATTTGCTGACACTGTTGGGAATCATGGAAGGAGAGATTCAGGTGGGCGAGGCATTGTTTCCCTTTGTGTTTAGCTTTCTGTATGTGATCTGCAGCTGTAAGCAGGACAAGTGCAATGATAAGAGAAAAGGTGGATGAGCGCAGTACCTGAACATTATTGGCTTGAGTAACTGCAAGTTTTGCACAACAGCTCTCTCTTGTGGTTTAAAATGTAACATACCAGAGAAAACTGACAACCACACCTAGACTTTATCGAGTTGGTACTTTAGAGAACTCTGAAAGGTAAACTGGTGATCCACAAAGCAAAGACTAGCAAGTTTTTAACACCCTCTGTATCATTTCTGTGTAACTTCAGGCCAGAGAGGATGTTATCTGCATGCTGAAGTCCAAACAGAGTTCCCCAGAAGCCCTTGAGTCACAGTATGGCTCCGCGGTCCCTGGCTCGGCCCTCCAGGCCCTTCAGAGAGACGGCGTCATCACAGGCACCAAACCACACAACCACAGTGTCTACCAGAAACCGATGACTGAGGTTAGTAGGCGAGTGTCAGTCACAAATCCTGAGGGATGATCAAAATTACTTTTTTATTAACAGGCCTCAAGACCCTCGAAATCCAAGAAATCACAAGACAGAAACTAATAAAAGTAATGTTTTTGTCACCACCTGGCAGGAGGTTGTTGCTACAAAACACTCGGCATGTTGCACCACAGCAACTGGAATTATTTGTTTCTGTGTGTGCGTGTTCGTCTTTGCCGTCTCAGCTCGAGCGTCTGCAGGAGAAGCACAAGGAGACGTACCGGCGGATGCTGGGTCAGCTGCTATTCGCAGAAAAGTGCCACCGGCGAACGATCCACGAGCTGGACACAGAGAAGAGGAAGCACGCCGACTACATGAACAAGAGCGACGACTTCACCAACCTCCTGGAGCAGGAGAGAGAAAGGTGAGGAGATCAGGAAAGGAATGCAAGAGCCAGCGGCTGTAAAATTGCAACACCATTATCTGAACCTGGACACTGTTTAGCTGCCCCGCTATTTTAAATCATTTGGTAAATAAGCTTTGAGAGAAGCACCTACAAATATGTTCATTTAACAGAAAGCAATATGCACATAAAGTGAAAAAATGGTGTACAGAAAGTAAATTTATTGCTGTAGCACTGCAAACATCATGTGATGCTCATACAGAATTTTACAGGTATGAGAAGTAAAAGGAGGAACTGTGAAGGAGAACCTGGTAAAAGCAGCAGGGGAAGAAGAAGAAAGCATAAAGTGCAGTTCCAGTGTAGTCTATGAAGCCAGTGCATCCAGTGGCTCAAGGGAGAGAGTCGAGGGAAGGAATGCTTGAAAAACATCTCAGACTGCATGAAAGATGGCTTCATCGAACCTGTGACGCAAGCGAGATGGGAGAAGACAGGGAGGTGCCGCTTACTGAATGATAACCTCGCATAGCTTTGTATGCAGGGGAGAGTCACGCAGCTCAAGGAAAGAGAGGCCAGAGGCAGGGTGGACTTGGACTGCTGTGGGAAAGACACAGGTCAGATATTGAGAGAAGAGGACACAGAGCCATGGGGTGGAAGAACAGCAGGAAAGACAAGCGCAGGGCTAAAGGACATGTCAGAGCTTCATTGCTGAGGTTGTGACATGGGCTCGCAACCTCAGAGCGGCTGCATGGACACACAACACAGGAGGGGAGATGGTGAAATTCTGTGTTTAGAAGGCTCATAGAGATAAAGCAAGCCTGTATGTGAGAGCGTATTTGTGCCATGGGAGTGTATGAGAGAGAAGGCCCTGCTAACTGCAAACACTCCCATATAAAAGGGTTTAATTGACTGTTGGTTGTTGGAGAATATTCTTTTGTTATTGTTTTGTTGCAGCTTCCACAAACGGACGGCGATGCATAATTTAAAGCTATTCGCACTCATAGTTTGCAAAATAAAAATAACAGCAAAATATGTGGACGACATAATCATCTGTAAGACAGACTGGAGCACTTATGTGGCAATTTATAATGACTGTGAAAAAGTTGCTTTAAAACTGTGACATTACCTCTTTGCACGGGCACGGGCACACACACACACACACACACACACACACACACACACACACACACACACACACACACACACACACACACACAAAAGACACAGCTGGGAAATAAGCAGCTGAATTTACCCACAGAAACGACCACCTGCAGTAACCAACCACTGTGGCCCGCCCCACAGTTTGAGAAAGACTAATCTAAAGTAAATTTATGTGAAATTTGATACTTTAATCTAGCACTGTTAGTAAGAGTATAGAACTTGATTGCGTGCTGAAGTGGAAAAAATTACTTCTAACAGTACTTTTATTGCACCATGTTCATTCACTCATGAGCTGCTGTAACATGAATCAAATGGCTGAATTGTCACCTCAGCATGCAGTCACGTTCTACAGGGTCTTGCTAATGACCTACTAACTGTATTCAGGCTTGTTGCAACAGGGACACATGGAAAAGTTTCAGGACACCGGCCCTCGAGGACTGGAGTTCGAGACCCCTGGCATAAGCAGTGAGGTACATAGGTAGTGGTCTCACCCTGACCACACCTATAAAATTGTCCGTCTTTACCACCGACATGAACCAAAAGGAGTCTGCAAATATTCAAATGAGGTTATTGTAACATTTCTGAAGGAAAACAACTAATTGATATTTGTGAAGTTGTTTGAGTGACATTCCACAACTTTACTCCAAAAGAATCTGATCTGAAACTTTATAATTAATAAGATAAGATAACCTTTATTGAGAGAGATAAGGATAAGTGAAGTTTAGCTGTAAGTGCTGCGGTTGGTAATAGCGACCAAATCATAACTAAACGGGTTAATTTACTTCTACTCGATCATTTGTTGATCCCCATCTCATGCCAGGTGGTTTCCAGCAGGTTCCTTGGCTCGCACACATGGCGGCCTCTGTCACCCCAAAGAGAGAGCAGAGAGGATGAACTCTGCCAGGTCTTTACTCTGTCAGCACCTGCACGTTTCAGATTCCTCTATTTGCACCATACACAGGGATGCGAAAACAGCTCAACTCCAGGAGGAAATCTAACATGTCCATGGTATATTCATTAAAGAGAAAGCCTGACGGAGCTCGCAGTAAAGCTCACGCAGTGTTATTCTTGTCTAATTTACATCAATTTTGTTTAGCCGGAAGTAAAACTTCCAATTTTGTTTTTCAAATCTCACTTGCACTGAGAGATGGGACAGACGTTTGCTGTCCACACAGTAGCAGGTTTTTCCCTTAGGCCTTAGATTTATGGAGTTTTTACTCACTAAAACTTTACCTAGAAAGTGAAAAAAAGTAGCCAGGGGCTGGAGGGGTTAACATAAACAGGAAAAACAGATTTAAAAGAGAACATGACACAAGTGCTAACAGCTACACAAAAACATGCAAACAGACAGTCATTCACTCTCTCAGGTGAGATGGAAGCGTGTCATGCTCTCATCCTTATGGATGTGATCTCCTCCAGCCATCTAGATGAGAGTGAAGAGAGAGAAGTCAAACGCTCTTGTGCCAAACACCTTGAGGAATGCAGAAAATGGGCAGAGAAGAAGCTCCTTCAGACCGGCAGCCATCAGCGATTAACACCCTCTCAGACAACAAGTAATTTATGTGTCAAGATGTTAAATATTTCAAGTGGCACAGTGGAATGTGTTCAGACTGACGGAGGAAGCAGCTCCCACTCCTGACGGGAGTTTCAAAGAGCGCAAAGTCACGCACACAAAATGAAGACGTGGCCTCCAAACTTAAACTGTTTGCCGTTATCGAGCATGCTGTCTGCTCTCCTTTAACACCAAGTCAGAGTGCACAGAGCTCAGGCTCTGCACCTTTTGCCACTTGTTTTCTACATCCATCTTCATCCTACTGACACAGGCTTTTAGATCACACACACTTTTACATGGACGCAAAGCAATTTCTTGCAAAGTTGAAACACAAGCTAAGCTGTGCTTCATAGAAACGGTAACACAAACACTTGTATTTTCCCATTTTGGACATTGTACACCACAATTATTTCTTCCTTAGTAACAGTAAACTAGAAATCTACATGACTTGGCCACAAGTGCCAAACCCCTCTGACATCATGACTCTGACCTTTGCATGAAAGTAATTTTAGAGTTCCAGTTTCTAGGGTGTCAGTGACTTCTGACTGTGTAAGTATGAAATGTTATGAGCTACACTTTCACATGTGGACGGCCTCTTTGTACAGTAGCCAGGTATGCTAAACACACTTGGCAATGGAAGCTGCTGGCATTATGAATCAATGTCGATGTTTATCTACAAGTTCACTGGCAGACGTGGTTTTTTTTAAACTGTGGTTTTGTTTAAATGATTAACTGTAGCTACACGGCCCCGCGCTGCAGTCTGGATGTAGCGCTTCGTACTCTTATTGCCATGTCTCTATCCTCCCATGTCTCCGTCACCTCAAGGGAGGCATCCAACTCTTCCATATCTGGTTTCCTCATCATATGTAGACTTTGCAGGGAGCCTCATTCATGTCCAGGTTCCCCTAAAGTGCAACTGCAGCAGACATTCTCTCTTGTACCAGTGAGCTCACAGCAGAGACATTATCCTGCACACAGAATGGAAAATGGAGCAACAATGATATAACTTTGAATGTGAGCCTCAGAAAGCATTAACACTAATTCATTTTTTTTGGAGTAAACTTGGAAACAAAGTTATATTGGGCTAATCTCTATTTTTATAAAAAGCATTAAAACTGAGGGGAGCTTTGCAAAACACTGGTTCTGTGGAAGGGTCCCACCCCCTTCACAGTGTCTGAAGCAGAGCTCTCTCTCTCACACACTCTCACACTGCTTTACATGGATGAGGTGGCATCACTCACTAGAAGTCTGCTGTTTCCTCGCAGTAGTTATTCACCTTTCATTGCCCTCATGCCACGCCTGGAGTGTGCCGGTGGAAGATTTAAGTGACAGGAGGTCTCTGCTACTCCTATTGCTGCTACTGTGGATTTTTGCACGGGCAGAACAGGGTTCATGTGCTACTTGTAGAGCATCAATAGTGGGTAAGTTTTAAATCTAGCAAGTTTCTGAGGTCTTGTGACCACATACATTTTGAATGGAGCTCATTTAGTCTCTTTACGAGTTGTTTAAAATGCACAGTCATCCTTGTTGTGCTGATGCTTCTTGTAATTTGGTTTAATTTGCAATGCAAAAAGGTTCAGGTTGAATATTGTATTACAATATCCCCGGGAGTGTACAGGCAGGAACTGCATCTGCATGCATTCTGCTTTGTATGGATTTTCTTCGAGCTGGAAATGAGAATGGACATGAGCAGCATAGAAAGGAGCTAAGAGAAAAGATGACTGCTTGGTGAGGGGGTGTTGGTGAAACTCAGTAGCAGTTTGTTCTCTTGTACTATTGCTTTGGCAGGATTGAAAATAGTAGGAATGTTGGAGTGTTTCATTCTGACAGGTTTTCCTCTGGATGCTTGTTTGGGACACTGTAGCATGAATTATGTGTTCTACCAGGACTGTGACTGATAATTGTTTTATCCGTGTTCTTTCTAGATAGCTTCAAGTGCTGGGCTTGTTTATACCACTGTTTGATTTAGAGTGTGGAGTCAGTGCATAAAGTTTTCAAATTCAAATTCAAATTTTATTTGTCACATACACAGTCATACACAGTAGGATATGCAGTGAAATGCTTAGACAACTGCTCGTGACCTAAAGAAAAAAAGACTATGAATAGGATAGGAAATAAATCTGAAAATTAAAATGAGGGGTAAATTTAGCTTGGAAGGAATAAAATAAAATATTGATATTAAAGTTAAAAATAAAATAATTGTACAACAAATTACACAATATAGAAATATATAAGAATATATGAAGAAATATAGAACAATACCAGCAGCTGTAAAAGTACTAAATGGTATCAAGAAATATAATGTCCAGGGCTGTGCAATCCACATGTAAGTGTCTTGTGCAGTGCAAATATGCTTAAAGTGATTTATTTAAGTGACTTGTGATAGAGTGATTAGATTAGATGACCACGCAGTGTAGTTGTGCAGTGGCCACTGGTGTAAACAAATGTCCAGAATGTCCAGTGTGTGTGTAAGAACTACATGTGTGGGTCAGTACTGTGTGGTGGTGTGATTGAGAGACCGTATCGCCTGCGGGAAGAAGCTCCTCCTCAGTCTCTCTGTGTTGGTCTTCAGGGAGTAGAATCGCTTTCCTGACCTCAACAGAGAGAACAGTCCATTGTTGGGATGGCTGAGGTCCTTCACGATCTTCCTGGCCTTGGTCCAGCACCGCCTGCTGTAGATTGAGTGCAGGTCAGGGAGCTCGGAGCGGAGCTGATCGCACAACCCTCTGTAGAGCTCGTCTGTCCTGCATGGTGCTGTTCCCGAACCAGGTGGAGATGTTTCCCGTCAGGATGCTCTCTATGGTGCGCGAGTAAAAGTTCCTGAGCACCTTGGAGGGCAGTCGGAAGTCTCTCAAGCGTTTGAGCTGGTAGAGATGCTGTCGGGCCTTTTTCACCACGGTGCTGATGTGGCAGGACCATGACAGGTCCTGCGTGATGTGAACTCCGAGGTATTTGAAGTTGTCCACTCTCTCCACTGGGCACTTGTTGATGATGCAGCCTTGAAGCGAGCATAGAAAGTGTTCAGCTTGTCTGCCAGTCTGCGTTCGTCATACCGGTTGTTGATGCTTCATAATCCGTTATTGTCCTTAATCCCTGCCACAGGCTCCTAGATTCACTCTGTTGGAGTTGTGACTCTAGTTTCCTCCCGTACATGCAAATTTCAAGTTTAAAGTCAGTGACCTTCCAGAATAATGCCCTTTCTTTTTTTGTTCCTTTCAGACTGAAGAAGTTGCTTGAGAACGAGAAAGCCTACCAGCTCAGAAAGGAGAACGAACACGCCAAACGTCTGACCAAGGTGCGAGAGGAGCTGGTCAAGCTGAAGTCTTTCACCCTGATGTTGGTCAATGAGCGGCAGCAGCACCTGGAACAAATAGACCAGCAGAGCCAGCGGGTCCAGGAGCTCAGCCAGCAGCTGCAGCAGCGTGAGCAGGCTCTAAGTGAAGCCAGGCAGCGTGCTCAGGAAGATGGACACAGGGTGCTGAGCCTCGAGGCCGAGCTTAAAGAGAAAGCCGACAAGCTCAAGCAACAACACGAAGAGATGAGTGCCAAGCTAGCCGGTCAGGAGCTTCTCAATCGTCAACTAAATACAAAACTTTCAGGCCTCACGAATGAGGTTGCGGAGCTACAGGAAAGCAACAGAGCACTGAGGAGATCTGAGGAGGAACTGCATGAGCTAAGGGAGAAGATCAGCAGGGGGGAGTGTGACAACTCAAACCTGATTGCTGAATTAGAGAACTTGAGAAAACGAGTGCTGGAGATGGAAGGAAAGGATGAGGAGATTACTAAAACAGAAAATCAGTGTAAGGAGCTACGGAAGAGGCTACAAGAGGAGGACAATAAGAGTAAAGACCTCAGACTGGAAGTGGAGAAGCTCCAAAAAAGAATCATGGCATTGGAAAAACTCGAGGGAGCATTTAGCGTTAGCAAAGCCGAGTGTGCACAGTTACACGGTGCTCTAGAAAAAGAGAAGGGCCTGACCAAAGAGCTTTCAGACGAAGTTGTAGCTCTCAAGATTCGTATGAAAGAGCTCGAGTCATCTGAGATAAAGCTGGAAAAGTCTGAGCTGAGCCTTAAGGATGACCTCAGTAAGCTTAAATCACTGACCGTCGCATTGATGGAAGAACGAAAGACCCTGATGGAAACAGTGAAGTCATGTGAGGAGAAAAAGGACGATTTAAGCAACCTGGTCAAAGCTGAGCAGAATAAAGTTATGGAAGTGACAGAGAAGCTGATAGAAGAAAGCAAAAAGCTCCTAAAATTGAAATCAGAGATGGAAACCAAAATAGAGACTTTAACGAATGAAAAGGGCGAGCTTAGCACTAAGCTAGCTTATGAAATTGATAAAACTAAGGACCTTAGCTCTAAAGTCAACCAAATGAAAAAGAAGTTAGATGGATTTGAGCAAGCAGAAAAACTTTCTGGAAAGAATTCAGTGAAATGTGACATGCAGAGAACATCTGAGCCCATCATCAGAGATGACAACAAAGTTAAGGAGCTGACGTTTGAAATTGAGCGCCTGAAAAACCGTCTCAAACAGCTCGAAGTGGTAGAGGGAGATCTTCTCAAGACAGAGGATCAGTACGACATGTTGGAGAAAAAGTTCATGAGTGAACAGGACAAAGCCAACATTCTGTCCCAGCAGGTGGAGGAAATGCGGACTCAGATAGCACGGAATAAAGCAATCGAGAAAGGAGAGGAGGAAAGCCAGGAGGAAGATCTGCGTCAACGTTGCAAGAGAGAGGAGGCCAGAACCAGGGAACTGCAAGGCGACGTGGTAGCGCTCAAGGAGAAGATCCACGAACTCATGCACAAAGAAGACCAGCTTTCTCAGCTCCAAGTGGACTTCTCCGTCCTGCAGCAGAGGTTCTTGGAAGAAGAAGAGAAAGCCAAGAACATGAGCACTGAAGTTTTCCATCTCACCAAAGAACTGGAGATGGCTAAGCGTCAAAGTCGAGCGCTGCGACCCAGCTTGAATGGGAGAAGAATAGTGGACGTGGCGGTGACCTCCACTGGCGTGCAGACAGAAGCGTCGTCCTCCGAGCCAGCAGAGGAGGATACCCCGGCTGGCTTTATAAGAAAGTCTGTTCAAGAAGAGAACCACATTATGAACAACTTAAGACAGAAGTGCCTGAAGAAGCCAGCAGAGAAAGGCAGTGCTGTTGAGCGTTCACCTTCATCTGGCAGTGATTTAGGTATCAAGAGATCTTGGATTCCCTGGATGAGAAGAAAGGACAACAGCCCTCAAGAGACCCACCTGGAGAAGCCACTGCACAATGGAGAGAGCTTCTCCTCTGAGCTGACCATGCCCCAGAAGCCAGGTCAGCCTTTCCACATCCGAGTGACACCAGATCACCAAAACAACATGGCAACTCTTGAAATCAGAAGCCCGACTGCTGGGGACGTTTTCTCTAGTTCCGCTCCCCTCAGCCCCAATCCATCTCAACCCAAATCCAGAATCACCATCATTCCCACCGGCACTGCTCCGACCCAGCGGAGAAAGTCCCCCGCTGTGTCTCAGGGCCCCGAAAGGGCCAAGTCTCCAGTCACTATCACAGCTATATCTAGAGCCAAGTCTCCAGAAACCAGCCGAACCTCCTCCACTAACTCAGGAAGACCCTTGTCCCCTGTCTCCATCATGACAGTGAGCACAGCTGTAGTGTGCGAAGCATCTGCCTCCCCAGAACCTCAGGAGATGACCATGGGCCGAGCCGTGTTCAAGGTTACCCCCGAGAAGCAGATGGTCCCATCGCCTGTACGAAAGGGTCACGGCAACACGAGTATCATCACCACGACTGACGATAGCAAGATCCACATTCATCTAGGCAACAACATCGCCCCAAAGATGGTCGTCAGGCCGGTGGCTGCTGTCACAGAGAGCAAGGAAATGACCTTATCGACTGGGACAGTTTTGCGCTCGCCTCGTCAAATCACCACCACTACTACCAGGAGCACGCAGAGCAAAGTGATGAGCAGCATTACAATTTCTCCTGTTACGTCCTCCTCTTCCAGAACGACACAAGGCATGGTAAGTTTTCCTTCATCCAGCTTTGGATAATTCCTGTTTTCTTTAAGTTGGATCATCTCTTTTCCTTACCTTCTTCATTTTCTTTTACATTTTTGGATCAAAGAGTTGATAGGAACACTCAAGCTGATAGCGGTTTCCTAAGTTCACCATGAGCTTCTTTTCACATCTCTGGAGATGAGAGATAATGCAGCACTGTGTGTGGTGTTTCCCGGGACCCCTTTTACTCTGCTCTTTGTGGATCCGATGGGTAGTGTGACAGAAACGGGGCCATGTGCAGGTCTGAGAGCAGCAGAGATAATGAGGTGGAATTTTGCCACCCTGCTTTAATCAGGCTGTAATTTATAGTTGTTACACTGTGTTTACTGTTTACATTCACAAACAGCCGTGGCTCGGGGCCCTCCGCGCTCTGGCTGACACAAAACAGCTTGGCACCGTCAGCAGCGTACTGAAACCTGGCCTGGACAAGCACTCGCTCGCTCAGTGAAAAATAAATGTTTACATTTCTCATTTGTGCTGCTCTTTTAGCACATAAGATCAGTTACATTGCACTAATTTACAATTCCTGTTTCCTGCATGATTTTTACCATGAATCCATAACTTAGTGTCGGTGTGGCTCAACTGTTTTCATTCTCCTGCCTGAGAAACTGTACTCTCTCTCTATTGTCAAACAGACCGGGCACGATGCCCAGCCACCGCGCTCAGGGCTGACCCGCATCCCAATGTCCAAGAGCCTGAAGACGGGAAAGGCTGCGCTGGGATCCCTGGGGGTCTCCGGTGGAGTGAAACTGGAGTCGCGGGCTGAGAGTCAGTCTATGAGGATAGAAGTTAAGAAATCCAGCGTGAATAGCAGTACTTTACAGAATGGAGGAAAAGCCTGAGCGACACAGTACCAAACGTATCTACATGGTGCTTCAGAGAGATTCATAGTAAAAGCTGTGGTGTTTGAGTACAACTCAACTATAGTTTACAAGGCATTTCTTTATTATTATTATTAAGCAGGAGACTGATTTTATACTTTTTATAAGGTATTTTCTACTTCTTTACTTCTTATTTGCATTTCTGCCATTTAGACTGAAACATCCATGATTTGTTTTGTTGTTTTTTACAGTGTGTTGTGATGGGCATTTGGGTAAGACTCTGCTGCTATCAATGGCTTCTTTCTTGGGGTGGATATTTAATCTATAATGAGTTTATTTGTTTTATATTAGACACAAAAAGTACACAATTATGTGAAAATTTGGTGCATTTCTAAAGGATTTGTATTGAAAATATTGTAAATAAAAGTGATATTAGAGGCAAGTGTGGTGTGATCATTTATGCAGACACTTATGTTAACTCATCTGTGTACCTGCAGTTGTGACAACCAGTGCTTCTTGCCCGGGCCTGCATCCAAGGATTGAGGGAAATGAAAAAATTCATATCCTGTGCTTTACGTAAATATTTTTGGAATAACAAATATTCTGGTTGATTCCTGTAATATAAACAGAAATCTTTAAAAAGCAATGTGCACGAGGCCAGACAAAGAAAACAATGAGACAGTGACGGTGCAAGAAGCAGAGGTCGTGAAGGTAGATGTGCTTAAACACCTGGGGTCAAGCATCCAAAGAGAGGTGAAGGAGAAACCCGGAACAACATTTATTATGATGATGTGGGAACAACACCAACACGATGATATCAGATCATCCGGAAAGCACTGCCAGGGGTGATTTGTGACAAAAGGATAGCAGCAAGAGGGAAAGGGAAAGTTTACAAGATGGCAGTGAGACCTGCTGTGATGCATGGTTTGGAGATGGTGACACTGAAGATTTTGAAGGTTTTCATTGGGAGTGACCAGGAAGTGAGGTTAGAGAGGTGAGGTTGAGATAGCTTGGACAGAGGAGACACTGGACAAAGGATGGTAAATATGGAGCTATCAGGTATGAAGAAAGGAAGAAGACAACAAAGAAGCTTCAAGGATGTAGTGAAGGAGGACGTGCAGAGGTTTGGTGTAACTGAGGAGGATTCTAGGGACAGAGGACAGAGAAAAAAGGTTAAAAACAGTTAAACATGTAGAGCCTTCACGTTAAAACCCGAGCACAGACGCCTACAGGTACTATCAGCTGTCATTGACAAAGGGGCGTTACCCTAATGTTTGCGATGATGTCACTACTACGCTACTTCTTGCTATTGGTTCGAAAGCTTCCTGCTTCTTCTTCTGGAGAGAGAACCGCAGTTTAAGGCAAACAAGAAGTCAGCGCTACAATGAGCAGATATTTTCATTAGACTGGGGGTAAAGTTCACTTCGCTCACAGTTTTACCCTTTGCCTAACCGCTCTGTGTCTTACTTGACGTGTGGGATTAACGGAGCAGCTCGGCTGTCTGTCAGAGAGGATTATTTAACTCGAAGCTGACCGCAGCCATGATGGCGTCGAGCTACAACGCTAAGGAAGAGGACGGACACCACTCCGGCGCTTCGAGCGGCACTGGCCTTTCGAAAAATAAGAAACCGGACAACACGGCGTTCAAACAGCAGAGACTTCCAGCCTGGCAGCCCATCCTCACTGCAGGCAGTGTGCTGCCGGCTTTTTTCGTCATTGGGCTCATCTTTATCCCCATCGGCATCGGCCTGTACGTCACATCGAACAACATCAAAGAGTTTGAGGTACAGTCGCGCTCCTGTCCGCCTTTAACCGACTCTGGCTTCTTCTCGGTTCTCCTACACAGCCCGGTGTAGCTACACACCGTTTATACACACAGTAAACCTGCTGAAGGAGGCTCACTAAACAGGAATAAGTGGTTCTTCGATAAGTGACGTAGCTTCTTTACGTCACGCCAATGTTAACAATGTTAATTGTAAAGATGAACAACATAGTGTTGAAGTTCAGTTTGAAGCGCATTCATTCGACGTTACTTTTAAATGTGGTTGCTACACACTTGTATCAAAGGTCGATATTAGATGGTAAAAACATCAGAGACATGGGGAGTCGGCACCACATATTTAATATTAATGAGGCTAGAAAGTGATCAGAATCACGGCTTATATCAGTGTCGCTGATCATAGTTTGGGCAGTGTGGTTTAACAGCACCACAAACCACAGCCTCTAAAGTGGCTTTCACATGGCTTCAAAACAGTCTAAACAAAGCTGGACTAGAAGGTAAGAAACACAGGATGTGTCCGGGGTTCCTGCCTCGCAGTGGGCCTTTGAGGGCTGCTGTGATCATAAGTGATTGCTGCCTGTGCATTAAACAAAGTGTTCCTGTATTTGATTCAAGTCTGTACCTTCTTCTAGTCATGTTGCTGCACTGAATAGACGGAGCACTGAGTGTATTTCAACATCAGTTTATTTCCTCTTTGCTTCAGATCGACTACACTGGTGTGAGCAGTGACAGCCCGTGCTACAACTGTGCAAAGAACTTCACCTGGAACACCACAGAGCCCTGTGTCTGCACCGTCAACTTCACTTTGCTCCAGCCGTTTGAGGTGAGCTCAGATCCCCCACCAGCTTCCAGGCATTGGAAGTTAATGAATAATGCATGCATTTACCTGCAGGACGGAGAGTGCTGCTTGTGCAATCCTAACAATAATTGTCCATTAAGATCTATTTTGAGTACAAACAAAAAACACTCAAGGTTTGTTTAGAGGCTGCTTTACTATTGATTGTTGTAGGTTTAAAATATGCTCTGCAGCTTTCAGAAGGCTTCATTGATTATTTATAAAAAGCTCTCAGTTGCTTGTCTGCACTAGTCTCATTTAACAGCTTGCATTTAGCTTGTAAAATAGCATTTTTTTTTTAAATTAAAATGTTTGCGTACTTCTTTTCTGAGAAGCAGAAGAAGTATTTGTATTAAGTACACTGCATCCTGAACAGTGAATCACCTGAAGGTGAAGTATTTTTGTCAACAAAGTTATTCACGTTCAACAGAAAATGGAATCATGTGCTCTTTCAGTTTAACAAACCTGATGAAGTGAGTTGTGTAGAAACGAACAGCAGCACTGATCAACAAAATAAATGAGCTGGGCTTTAAATGTTTATTTCAGCGTTCTCTTCATACTGAAATCAAACGCTTATGAATGTGCAAGATTAATGATTTTCTGGAGTGCTGCTCTCTTGTCGTTTTGCAGCAGCACTATTGCGTTGTACCATGTTATTTTTATATTCCTTGTAGATTTCCAGCACCTGTTATTGTCTCTGGTTGGAGTAGGTATACAGGTATTTTATACCTGTATAAAACATTTTATACAGGTATAAAATGAGGTTATTTAAAATTTACTTTAGGGCTTTTTAGTCCTCATTTAACAGACAGCAGAGAAAATAGGGAGAGCGAGCAGGAATGAAATGGTTCAAATAAACTTGCGCGGACTCAAACCTAGGCCCCTGCAGTAAGGACTCCAGCCTGTGGTATATGGGTTGCTAACTCAACCAGGTGAGCTGTGATGGTGCGCACAAAAAGCAGTTTGTAAAACTGGCCTGATTGCTCAAAACAAAGATGACACCGGTGCCGTAACGCTGTGGGAGAAACATCACTACCTGATCAAGCACCACAGCCTTTTATGAAGGCACAGACTGGCAAGAAGACGCATGTCCCACATTAAACAAAGCCCCTCTATGTTGTTAACCTTTTTACAAATGTATTATTTATTTTTAAATATGCATGGATATCATTGGATTTGGTTTTATCTCCCAGTCCCAGTAACCAGTGAGTTCAAATGAATTTCCATCACTGTTTTCCGAAGGGGAATCTTTTAATCTTGATGATTTTCTTGATGATTTATGTTGATCATAGAGATTGTGTGTAAGACCCTGTCACGGAAAAGCTGCTCATTCATCCTGGTCGTTACTGATTCCTAATTCTGTCAGCGATGCCGTCTTTTCTCTCGTACAGAGCAACGTCTTCATGTACTACGGCTTGTCCAACTTCTACCAGAACCACAGACGCTATGTGAAGTCCAGAGATGACAGACAGCTGAACGGTGACCTGTCTGCTCTGACGGTATGCTGCTGTACTTTTTGTGCCTATAGATAATTCAGAGAATCCAGTGAATGTTTCTTCCATCAGGTGAACATTATGTCCTTTTTCCAGGATCCCAGCAAGGAGTGTGAGCCGTACCGTAAGAGCGGAGATGTGTCCATTGCTCCGTGTGGGGCCATAGCTAACAGCCTTTTCAACGGTGAGTGTGTTGAAAAACTTCACTTTCCCTCTCTCAGCTGTTTAGCTTAACTGGAGTCTTATCTACAGTTTAAAACTGCTGTGTTAAAGCTTTGTAGAGCCTGATATCTGTACTGAATATACTGATTATGTGTTTCAGACACTCTGGTGCTGTACTACGTCGATTCCAACAACAGCAAAATTGAAGTTCCTCTGGTAAAAAAAGGCATTGCGTGGTGGACGGACAAGCATGTGAAATTCAGGAATCCTGCTGGAAACAGCAACCTGACTTTAGCTTTCCGAGGTGACATCTGCACACAGTTCACAGGCCCCTGTAGTAGGGATGCACCGATACCGGTATCTGGTATTGGCCTCGATACCACATTTTCTAAAGTACTCGTTAAAAGTCCCCCGATACCGGGGACCGATACCACGGTCTGAGACCTGTCTATGTTTGAGCGGCATGTAAGGGGTTAATCACAAGGGCCGAGTGAGTGAGTTGCACTGTCACTGTTTAAATATTTTTTTCATAATTATTTATTCTGTAATATGTTGCATACAACATGCTTTTCATTTTAAATAATAATTCTTAATTCCAAGCCAGTCCCTTGTTTTATTTTTTGTTAAATTATAGGACTAAAGCTGTTACCTGTAAATTTAAATCATGTTTTTATTCAGTACTCGGTATCGGCGAGTACTGAAATGCAAGTACTCGTACTCGTTTCCAAAAAAGTGGTATCGGTGCATCCCTACCCTGTAGGCTCGCAGGTTCGAGTTGCAATGACCAGCTGGGTTTTGTCTTCATCTCTCTCAGACACAGCGAAGCCGGTGAACTGGGCGAAGCCGGTGTACGAGCTGGACCCGTCGGATCCTGATAACAACGGCTTTATCAATGAGGACTTCATCGTGTGGATGCGCACGGCTGCATTGCCCACCTTTCGGAAGCTCTATCGCATCATCCAGAAGAAGTCTGGCACCACCCCAACTCTCCCCAACGGGAATTATATGTTGAACATCACCTACAGTATCCTTTACATTCCAGTAATCTCATTACTAGAGTTAGACATGCTGCTTTGAACAGGCTAGCGTGAGTTTTTTGTGTCTTATAAAGCTTAACAGATCAGACGGTCTTTACTTGCAGTATCTCTGCTTCTTTGATTAGCACACGGAGAAGCTTTTGATTCAAGAGGTGTGCAGATATAAATATTTTAAACACATCTACATATACTCAAGTATCCACTCTGGGCCACAAATAGATTATTATTTTATATTCCTTTATGGCCACAGTGTATCCATCTTCTGTTGGCCCTTACAGCAGGATAACGCGCCATGTCACAAAGTTGGTTCCTTGAATGTGATAAAGAGTTCAGTGCACTCAAATGCCCTGCAAAGTCAATGGATTTAAAGCAATAGAGACACTTTTGGGATGTGGTGAAACAGGAGTTTGTCCTTATCTCCAAAATCAAAATGTTCCCAGCACCTTGTTGAAACTGTGCCATTAAGTCTGTTGTGAAGACAACAGCAAGGCGTACCTAATAAAGTGTCCATTGAGTGTAAAGATATTTAAAAAGATCATTTTTCTGGTTTCTCGAATCTCAGTAGATTAAGGGTGTATCGTTGTTCGTGTGTGTGCGCGCGCTCTGTCATTTCTCTTTAACCGCATGTAATCAGATTACCCCGTACTCAGTTTTGATGGTCGCAAGCGGATGATCCTGAGCACCATCTCCTGGATGGGAGGAAAGAACCCCTTCCTGGGCATCGCCTACATCACCGTGGGCTCCATCTGCTTCTTCCTGGGTGTGGTTCTGCTCATCATCCACCACAAATACGACAACCGCAACACCAGTGCGGATATCCCAAGCTAAACGGCGCGTTCCACGCTCGGGCCTCTGCATGCACGAGTGCGTACGCTGTACCAGGCTGTCATGCGGTAGCGTCTCCAGTTTCTCATCAAAGCTGTGTTTAAGCGTAGCGAGGCGTCTCCGTGTGTCTCTGTGTATATAGCTTCAGGCCGATTTGCTGAGAATGTCTTTTTTTTTTTTTTTTTTCTTCAGGTTTGCAGTCTTTTATTTATCTGAACATTATCAAAGTACCTGTTTCATTTTAGCAGTGCTTTGCGAATGGCTTAATTATTGAAGGATGTATGTAATTTTAATGCAAGTTTTTTTCCATATTATGTAAAGTTATATGTCCTGCTGATGAATGTACCGTAACACTTCGTTGACATACCTCTGTGGGTTCTAGGATTACCTTGAATACTGAAGGTGATTATGATTGCTTGGATAAATACTGATATTCAAGAGTCATAAAGCATTAATAAGAAGTAATAACAGAAATATGCTTTTCTGCCCTCCACTGTGACCAAGGAGCCAGTCTTTTATTTATCACTCATAAAACTTACTTTATACAGTATTCCTAATTCAAAGGTGGTGTCTCTGGGTGGGTGGAGCACAGGAATTCTTAATTTATTGTTTGTTAGTGGTTCGGCCAGAGTGTGAAATCGTCTGATTGGTTAATGTTGACCAAACGATATGCACTTTAAAAGTGTCCCGTTTGTTCGGTTCCCCCTTGTTTCGCCTGTTCTTGGTTTTTTTATGCTGTTAAAACTTTCAATTTGAGCTCCTTGGCTTTTTATAAGGTTTGTAGGGTCCAATTAAAGAACTTGGTCAATGTATCGCTGTCATTTGTGATTATAATGGTAGAATTCCCACTGCTTCCATTATCCATGCTACTGTGATTTGTAGGGATGTTGATGTGTTTTATTGGCCTTTATTAACTTAATGAAATAAGGGGAAACAATCCCCTCAAGAATTTAAACACATAAAAAGTAGCACTTTATAATGATGTCACACTATTGGTAAAGTATTAGTAAGTGCTTAATTTGTCAATTATATATCACTATATACATCATTATATACTTCTCCTTAGTATGTCATTTATAAATCCAGATATATTTTAATGATCATTACCAGCAGCGATAGCTCTGTGTGGTGCAACAGTAACACATCTGTATTGATAAATGGCATACTAAGGAGGAGTAATGATATATGAATGAAACATTATCTCATACCTTACTAATGCTTAATGGTGTGATGTTGTAAAATGTAATGTAAAAAACAGTCCTTGTACTTAAAGCCTCACCTGTGTGGACTGCACCACTTATCCAGGTAAGGAGGAGGTTGTGTTTAATGTGTCTCTTATACACTCTCCTACTCTTAATGCTTCTGTGCTCCTCTCACTGCTCTGGATTCAGTCGCGCCCGTCTTACCAGCTGATTACATCATCATCATCATCAGAACGTTAAATGAAATCCGACTGTCTCAGACACTGAAATACACAACAAAGACGATCATCAATAACACACCATGCTGATAATCTCTGGGAACTGGGGAAAATGGGGAGCTAACTTTTGTTAAGAAGACTTTTATCAGTAATTAGATCATGCCTAATTAACGTTATATGAATTATGGACTGTATATACCAGGGGTAGGCAACTCCAGGCCTCGAGTGCCGGTGTCCTGCAGGTTTTAGATGTGTCCTTGATCAAACACAGCTGATTCAAATGGCTATATGACCTCCTCAACATGTCTTGCAGTTCTCCAGAGGCCTGGTAATGAACTAATCATTTGATTCAGGTGTGTTGACCCAGGGTGAGATCTAAAACCTGCAGGACACCGGCCTTCGGGGCCTGGCATTGCCTAAACCTGGTATATACCATTGAATTCATCTTTTAACTGAACTCACTGCAACGGACAGGGCTGACCAGCAGGTGTCGCCATTTGGCTTTATCAGCCTTTAAGGGCCTAATTGTAGGTCCGGTGGTTCCCACAGACAGACAGAGCACAGAAGCAGAAAAGGTGAAGATCTTTCAGTATTATTGTGTGGTTTTGGGATGATTTGAAGTGAAGTTGTTTCTTGTCGGTTCACTTTTGACCAACGCTGCTGTTTTGTGCATCATTGTGATCACAAGACTCCTCCAGCAGTGTGGCGTCTTAAAGCTTATTATAAGTAAATTACAAGCAAATGTTTGCTTGAAATATTGTTTTTACTTTATGTGAATCTTTAGATGGAGGTACAGGATAACAGGCTGTATTTCTCAGTGAGTTACAGTAAAATGAAAGGGTCTCTTTGGATTTGCAGGTTCTGGAGACAGAACCTTGACGTTTTTGTAGCCTGGAGGATAAATATGTGAGATACCTGCTGCATTATTGAAAGATCTCCGCCTGTAGGGGAGCTGGGCTTTAGTAGTTATTCTTGTGTGCTGCAAGTAAAAAATCTTGCAAAGTCAACATTCAGAGTGTGCCAGGCTTTGCTGATCTTCCATAATACTAGAAATCTGGAGCCCAAAACAAACACTGTTCCAGCACATCATTTGATTGCTGTGGTTAACCAGAGTCGAGCTCTTTGCAAGCAAACTTTAGACATTCTTGTTGGGAGAAATTTGCTCAAATCATTTTTATATTATTTCTTTGTTTTTTTTTAGATGCATGAACACAGAAACTGAAGCCTTTGAAGCAATAATGTGCTTTCATTCCTCCCCCTCTTTGATCAGGAGGACAACAGCATGCCCATCATCATCTGAAGGGTGGGTCAAAGGACGCTCCGCTCCACAGAGCCGCAATAAGTCTCAGTGTGTTTGGTATGTCAGCTCTCGTCTGAGATTTGATGAGTCAGGCTAATTTCAGATGTCTCACTCTGTGTTTTGGATAAAACACGCCCGCGTCCCGACCCCAGCGTTTTAACCCAAACTGTCTTCTAAAGATAAATGCCTGTAATTTGACGATGCATCATCGAGGCTGTTTAAAGTCTAGATTATTAACTTGTGTTGTATCTCGGTTACATCTGTAATTCTTGTTTGATCTCCTCACAAGGAGTGGATATGTTGAGCTGTTAGTGCTGTGATGCCCAGGAAGCCACAGTGAAACAAGATCAATAAAAAGCATTCCCAGTTAATTACACCAACATGGCTGTAGGATCCCATGCAGACCCCTTTGCATCCTCTTGTCTCTTGTCTGATCACTGTTATAGCACCCTCCTGGGTGTTTGTCTCATGGTGTAACTCTGTAAAAGTTCAGTATCAGATGCTTGAGATCACTGCTTATTTATTGTGCAGATAAATCACAGTCACTCTCTTTTTAAAGGAATGTTGGTATTTTTAATTAAAACCTACAAAATCATTTATTCTATGGGAAAATATCCCAAGAATTTCCCGGTGTCCTGCAGGTTTTAGATGTGTCCTTGATCCAACACAGCTGATTTAAATGGCTAAATGACCTCCTCGGCATGTCTTGAAGTTCTCCAGAGGGCTGCTGATGACCTAATCATTAGATTCAGGTGTGTTGACCCAGGGTGAGATCTAAAACCGGCCTTCGAGGCCTGGAGTTTGACACCCTTGTTTTAGACTTCTTTCCCAAGCCTGTATCTGCTGTCTATCTCTAGTATGACCACTAGAGGGCGCCATAAACCTTCGACTCTCAGTTTCAGGAGCAGCTGCTGCTCAAAATCCAGGGCTTCCCCAATAAAAGCCAACTAAACTCAGTCCTTTATAGTTTAAATAAACTTGAAAGACAAACGGACTGATGTGATTTCGCTTTTGTTTCTTTAAGCATCTTGAGCGCATTATGGGGAGAATGACAACAAAAAAATTATTGTTTATAAATGAAAAGGTGAAGTTTTAATTTCAGCTGACATCTGTGTAAATAAGCTGGATAAAGTTGCTCATTGCGCAAATAAGAAAGTTCCCCTCGGTGCGCTCTGGCCAAAGGTGCCCCTGCTGTGAAGTCACAATTGGCGCTGGAAACTCGTCGCCAGACCGAACGAATGCTGGGAAAAATGTAATTTCCGAACACCCGGTCGGTCTTAGCGGGGGACATACATCAAGTGAAGGACGGAGCTTTCGTAAGAAGCCCATATGATGGTAAATTGAGAGCTGGGAACTCCCCCCTTATTAAGTAGCCGATGGTGGAAAGATTCTTCCCACTTGGAAAGAGGCTTTCCTTTCTTGGACATCTGCTGGTGGAGCTTCCAGTAGCTAGAGAGAGAGGAAAGGGGGTCCAGGAGCAGCTCCTGAAATTTCTTACTTTCCTGAGGGGGGAGGCTTCAAGCGGGCTGCGCTCACGTTTGGTCCGTTCAGAATTTTGGGGGAACTTCAGTAGGTGAGTAGACAAACTTTTATTTCTAACAATTACGTTATAAAGATCAACTTTTATTTTTCCTCACAAAATTTCGATACGATATTTAAATTTTTTATTCACACTTTTTCAATTGAATGCGCTTTGATCACCAAACCAAGCTGAATGCTCTTAAAGCAAATTATAGAAGTTTGAAATGAGTTGTTGATCTGAGATTAGAAGATTTAAGATAAGAGCTCGATTTTTTTGTTGTTGAGCTGAACAGATTTAAATGCAGCCACCGCGAGAGGCAGGTAAGCCTGTAGTAACTTAGATTTAGCCTAATATTTGTGTTTTATATGATCCAAGATATCCGATTGGATCCAGGGCTGCAGTGTCCTCACATGTGCACCAGGCGGAGCGCACAGCCTGCGGTTAAGTTTAAAGAACTCGAGTTCAGCCTGAAGTGTCCCGTGTGAGGGCGACTCATGAGTTTATAATAATAAAATAATGTCAAAAATGCAAATTAATCACATCCAAGTAAATCTGCAACAGGAAATGAATGTATTAAAAACAAATTTTTGCTTCTGTGATTTTTTTTTTTTTCTCTTTTCCCAAGGGAACCCTTAGGATCATAGTGAAGATTTAGGGAAGGATAGAGGAGTAATATATTTTCATATACATGAAAATGAATCATCACAGAGTAGCCCGTGATATCACAGACTTTACAGAGACATTAGAAACAAAAACAAATAAAAAGCATGATTTAAAATTAATCATCCAGTCTTCATCCCCGTAGGTGTTATGTGAACGAGAACCAGCGAGTCTATGCTGGATGTAATGATCCGCACAGCAAGCTGCCAAAGTCAGCAAACAACCAGAAACGCATCCATTTTCCAGTTTATGCACTGGAAAATCAAAACTGAATTGCATGTGTTGGATATTTCTTTCATTCTCTTATTACTGAATAACTGCAGAGCTTCATTCAGTGGTAAGAAAAGTGCTCCCTCAGGCCATGGGAGTCAACTGAAGGCAGCAAGGTGTGGTTGGTTGTGTAAAGGAGTCTAGGTGGATCCAGCAGTTTTGTTTTTTTTTTGTGTCGGGACTGAAAGCGATGACTGACTAATTAAAGTTATTTATCTAGATTTATATTCAAAGAAACACGATCCAGGGAGAACTGTGTGCACGCTGTCTAATTGTAAAGGCTCTCAGGTCACGCTTTAGACGCAGCTCTACGTTAGGTGTAAAGCTGATGCCTTTACACCACAGTGTAAAAGTGAGCTGAGATGTGCAAATGTCCTTTTTTGTTGTTGTCTGCAGACTTTTTGATGCGCTGCTGACCCTTTAGAGCCAAACATGAAGATAGGGCTGTCTCTGGCCACGGCTGCCTTCCTGGCGGCCCTGTTGTCCTCCATAGATGCTCAAGGTAAATACAAAGCATCTGGCCTCACTCTCCCCACACACACTATTCAACTCTGTCCAGTCTTTATCTCCTCCTTTTCTATTTTTACCTCTTATCTCCACTCCTTATTGAAGCTACTGGAATTAATGTGAGCGATTCATCACAACCAAACATGAACTGTTTGTACTGACTGAATAAAGTTAATCTTATTTCATATGTATGATATGTTGACTATGTGACTGATTCCTTGATGTCTGTCATGCTTTTATTCCTCAGTAGTGGCATATTTTCCCAATGTATCTATCAGGACTCATTGTTTGCTTTGATGTGAACTCCAAATCCAGATCCCACTCACTTGGAATTAAACTGTAATTTAGGAGTTTTAAACCAATAATGCACGAGCAAGTTTCTCATCCACATTTGGGACATGTGAGAAACCGTGCACACGAAAGTTTATTTAATTTCCAGTTTCTAACTGAATGTATTAAACAGCGAGGCACAGACTACAAGTGTAACAAAAGGCATTTTGTGGTTAATGTTTCCCTATAAATGTTTTAGCACAGTTTTTGCTATTTCCGTTTTACACTTTTTCCAAAGCAAAAATGGGAAGAGTTACGCACCGATTAATCTGGCTTACATAAATGTTATCATCATTACACTAAAGGTGCAGAAAGATCCTAAAACATATGCAAATTTCTTTTGCAGTGGTTCTAACAGCTGTTAAAACATTAGATTATTGTGCATGACAGCAAAAGCACAAAAGATAAAGTAGAATACAGTCATTTCAGTTTTAATAATAAATAGAAATGTGAAAAGTGCATCAGTACTGGAGTAGAGTCATTTAGTAGACAGAAGTGGATCTGTGCAAGAAAAATGCAAGTGATTAAAACTCGAGTGTCTGGCTTTTTCCTTCCCAACACTGATTTCACGCTTCTACGTTACAGTTTCAGTAGAAACTAAATGATTTCGCTCCACATGCGACATGATGTAAAACATCATCAACGGTTAGGAATCGGTTGTAGCAGGAGTAGTTCTGACAGAAAATGACTTCATGTAATTAAATATTCAAACATCTCAGTCCAAAATAATGACACATAGAGAGGGGGTATGAAATCCTGCTCTCGCACGGCAGAGGAGTCTGCGCTCGGGTATCTCCGCTAACCGAGTGGAAAGATGAAATAGGAGAATAGCCAATTAATCCTCAGACAGCTCAAAGACAAAGAGCCTTTCTCGAGCTTCTTTGCGGGCATTTGTGAAAATGCTGAGTTGCAGGACATATGGAAAGTTAATATGCAGTAATGTTTAATGTCAGCACAGGCTGTGGAATTACTTTGGCATCTGTCCTGCCTCTTTGGGAGAGTCAGTGTTCTTTCCTCCTCTTCTTGGTCTCTCCTATTGGCAGCAGCTCAGGTCAGGATAGCTGGTTGGCTGGCTGACTGCTGGAGACTGAGGTAACACAACGGGAGCCAGATTCTGGCCCCTGGAAGACAGAAGTGTCCTTTATTATGAGCTGATGGGACAGACGTCCATATAACAAACACAACCGCAAAGTCCAAATAACCTACCCGCGATTATTTTGACAAAACCACATTTGTTCCTCAGCTACATTTTTTTTAGAGCAGACAGACATGCGGTGAAAGGAATTGTAGCAAATCAAAACAAGATGCTCAGACAAGCTCGCCATGAACAAACGTGGGAGCGGCAGGCGCATCCTGCAGCTGAATTTTCCACTCATCGTCCACGCTGTGCTACTCACTACCCCTCCCCAACTCATCCACACCCAAGTACCAACACACACTATACACCCGTACCGTTTTGGTGTTGGAGATGAGTACTCGTGGAGAAATCAGGGGCAACATGGTCCACCGTGGCTCCTTGAGTTGAGATGCCAGGTTGGTGATCCTCCAATGCCAGTTTTTAAATATTTGGTGGGCTCCTCTTTGTCATCTGCCTGTGCACTCAGTGTGTCCCAAGCTATGGCTTCCTCCTCATAGTATATTTTACAATGATATTCTTATGAAGCATGCACCCAGTACCGCATGCCGTGGCATCTTATGCATGTTCGCGTCCCCGCCACTACACGGACAAACGAGGACCCGCACCAGAGGACCACGTAAGATTGGTTGCGCTAACCTCATTAACCTCACGGCAATTAATTTGATTAATTGCTCGAGTTTTGTGTTGTTGACACTAATTTACTGAGTGAAAAGACTTTCAGAGCTGCATGATTACATGAGAAGTAACTGAAAGATGAGCTCACAAAATATGAACTAACACCCATACCGTGACCCGACTCTAACAGTGGTTAACCTGGTTGACAGAAGCGCAGTCAGAAGTTTGCTGCTAGTTCCTGAAATACTCTGATGTGACTTTAATGCATGTGTGGTACTCACGTACTCAAACGTTAACACTCTGCCTGCCTGCAGCCTAAAGACGTAAGAAAGAATATCATTCTAAAATATGTTTGTCATCTCTGTCTCTGTACATGGAAACTAATGTCCAGCCGGTCAAAGTTGTTGAGTCAAACAACTTTCTCATGTACACACTGCATGATGTTGTCATCAAGTCAGCTCCATGTAAAGGCCTGCGGTCTTCTCACACTGTATATGTCTTCTCATATTTATTTTACATGTACACCTTTCTCTGTAAAAGCACATTTGGTTGTCTGAGGAAGTCTTGTTCTCTCACACCTTCTTGTGCATTTATGCTGCTGCTGGAAAAAGTACACAAGAGTCGCCGGTGACGAATTGTGTATTCTTTTTGAAAGGTTTGCAATGGATGTGTGCCACACGCTTTTGTAAAGAGTCGTAAGCAAATAAACAACAAAGTATTTTTTTTTGTCCCTCAGATATGTTTATATACGTTGTGTATATAACATATGGTGTTCATTTTGTCACTCCAACAGCTACATGGCATCGTTGATTCCATTGTATAATCGGTAACTTAAGAATGAAGTCACTGTTGTGTTTGTTACTCTGAGCTCGGCTCCATCATAAAGGCAGTTTAATATGTGGGGCATGCGTTGTAACTGCACTTAGCATGTGTTGGATGGTTCACTCAGTGTCTGCACTTTAGTGGCGTTTGCGTGGATTCGTGCACAGACTGACGTGTATGCCAGTGCTTGAGTTGCCGGGCCGTCTCGGCTGGGCAACTCAAACAAGCGCCATTTTGCTCCAAAATGGCTTCTCACACTTTTCCATTGTCACGTGTTGCTCACCTGTCACCCTCACAGAGGGACGTGTTGTGTGTTTGGCCCCAACAACGAACAAGTCCGCTTCAGCCACGAAGTGTTTGTCGTTGGGATTAATGTGAATGTTTAATCAAAGATGCCCTTTTATTTCATTTGATCAGAAATACGCCCACGGTCACACGCGTCTTGTTTTAACAGCGTTTCGTCTCTTATTTGCAGTGGAGCCGCCCTCAAACTTGAAATTTCACATTCTAAATGAGAATACAGTGGAAATGTCGTGGATGAGACCCTCGGCAACGATAGAGGGCTTCAAAATACAAGTGCAAGTGCCGGATGGAGGTCAGTGCGTGTGTTGGTGTGCTGACACTACAAACGCTTTGAAACCCTAGCAGCTTTCTAACTTCCTGCTTTGCTCCTCATAGATGAACCGACCAGAGACTTTACCCTAGATGCATCTGCCACTATGACATCGCTCACTGACCTGACCCCTGACTTGGACTACTCTGTGTCAATAAGCTCCTATTATGGCTCAGAGGAGAGCATCCCCATCTTTGGACAACTGACCAGTGAGTTGATTATGCTTTATAAACATATTTTTCAGTGAAAAACAGGTTTTTAAAAAGTAAGTGTATGTTTTTACGCTCTATAATGTTCTTATTGTGTCCTGATGTGAATTCAGGACATCAGGAAATCACTTTTCCTTGCTGGCTATTGAAACCTCTGAATTATGTTCACTGATACAAAGCATTTACTCCCTCGGCAACACGGAGAGAATTTAATCATATAATATGCTAGTAAAAGTCAAGTAATAGCATTTCCATCCAGCCATAAAAAATCTAGGAAAGGGAAAAATCACATCTGTTTACCGACTCTTGAATTGCTCGCTGTTTGTAGTTAATGCAGCGTTTGTGTGCGTACGGAGCTGCTTTTATGATGTGTTGATTTTCTTGCCTTTTTCCGCTGTGAAAAAGTACACAGTGAGGCTTCAATGTGCGGCGCTAACTCACCGAGTGTTTCCTGTGTTTCAGTCCAGTCCAGTAACAGCAGCGGACGAGTCAGGAGGCCACAGGCAGATGCAATCAGTGAGTATGCTTACTGCAGTGTCGGCCAAAATCCAAACACACCCGACCCTTCGCAGGGCTTTCTGAACTTTTAAAATGTATTTTTTCCTTTTTGACTGTCATCATAATATTTTTCCCATGGAATAATTTGGTCAGGCATCTTACTGGGTTCTAACTGGGTAGACAGACAGGGTTTTGGCAGCGAGTGGAAAGGCACATTGGTTCCTTTAATTCTAACCAGCAGCCTGGTTAGAATTAGGAAGAAAAAAAAGTAAAGGAAGGCTTGAAGCTGCAAGAGAAAAGCTCCCTTGAGCTCTCAGCTTCAACCCTTAAGGAGAACGATTTTGGAGGGGAAAGGAGCAAGAGGCAGGTCTGAGGTACGAGTTCAGCTTTGATCAAGCGTCGCCATTGCAAACTTTCCTCAGCTTATTCAAACTGTCCGTGGTGACTGATGGGCAGACGTGCTCACTTTTCCCTCATATGATGATTGGAAACTGCAACCATGAGTGCAGATCCTCTGAAACATTAAGTCAGAGCATTTTGACTGAAGATGCCTTTTTCTGAATGTTTCATGTGAGACAGGAGGAATCGCATTTAGAGTCAATGAGAGTGCAGGGAGCGAGGATTAAAGTCCATCCACATAAGCCCTGCCAATTAGCATTTCAACTTAAATGTTCTGTTGCATCTGTGATTTAAAAGCTTGAGGATCTCAGTGTTTAAAAGTAGATATTACCAGTGGAATTTCTGCTGAATATTTAGTCTACAAAGGCACATTTTTGCCTCAGTCTGCTGGAATAACTGCACCAGCCCACTTTTGGCAATGGCTCAGAGTTCCTTTGATGCAAGAATGCACATCTCTCAGTCGTCCAACTACCTGTCAAAGATTTTATTTTATTCAGACGGACAGAAGAAATGCCATGATTTAAAATATCACCGTGAGATGTAAAGAATGTAGTTTTCTGCTTTCTGAGATTTTAACCCCATCATTCACCAAAAGTTGAAAGCCAATCCATTCCTAATACGAATCAGTTAAAGTGTGTTTATTCATTCTCTCATCGACTGTTCTCCTGATTGACGGTCTTTCCTGTCCGCCGTCTGTCCTCAGAGTGTTCGGTCAGTGCGATAGCCGACTTGGTTTTCCTGGTGGACGGCTCTTGGAGTGTAGGAAGAGAAAACTTCAAACACATCCGGAGCTTTATCGGCTCGCTGGCAGGGGCCTTTGACATTGGCGAGGACAAAACCCGTGTGGCGGTGGTTCAGTACAGCTCAGACACTCGTACAGAGTTCCCCCTCACTCGTTACACCAGGAGAGGAGACCTGCTCCAAGCTATCAACTCACTTCCGTATAAAGGAGGAAATACCATGACAGGTACGATGTTTATCAGGAGGCTTTGAATTGCGTTTTTTAACCTGATTGCAAGCGAGGACTTAAAAATACACATGAACTTCTTTTTAAAGGCGATGCCATAGAGTACCTGGTGAGAAACATTTTCACTGAGGCAGCTGGATCCAGGAAAGCTTTTCCAAAGGTAGCCATGATCATCACTGATGGAAAATCCCAAGACCCAGTGGAGGCGCATGCTAGAAGACTTAGGAACATTGGAGTGGAAATATTTGTCCTAGGTATGGTTTATTATTCAGTGTTTTTTTTCCTTTCTGATTTGTGCTTTCCCATGTGAAAGTCTGCCTGTTCTCAGAAACCATTTGATTTTCCATCGATGGCTCGTTTTAAGATGCAGTTTTGCCCCAGTAAAAGTCAAACTGTTGTATTGCCTAACATAAGCAATGCCCTAAATCACATCTGTAAAGCAGACAGTCCTAACACATGAGTTACTGTTTTTCCTTCACAGGTATCAAAGGAGCAGATGAGGATGAGCTCAGGGAAATAGCCTCCACACCTCACAGCAAACACGTGTACAATGTGCCCAACTTTGACATGATCCAGGAGGTCCAGAAAGAGATCATAACACAAGTGTGCTCCGGTGTTGACGAGCAGCTGAACATTCTGGTCAGCGGAGAGGAGAGTGAGTCAAGTGATATTTAATACATGCCCATGCAGGATTCATCTAAAATGCTGTTACAGTATACTGATGTGCAGCATCTTGTTTACTTTGATGCCTCCCACAGTGGTGGAGCCAGCCTCCAACTTGGAGGTCACAGAAGTTTCATCCAAGTCAATGAGGGTGACGTGGGCCCCGTCTCTGGGTGATATCACGGGCTACAAGCTAACCCTCAATCCCATGCTGCCCGGCATGAAACGCCAAGAGCTGTACATTGGGGCTGGACAGACATCCGTCAACGTCCGTGACCTTTCCCCCGAGACCGAGTATGAAATCAGCCTCTACGCACTCAAAGGTCTGACTCCCAGTGAACCCATCGTTGAACTGGAGAAGACGCAGCCTGTCAAGGTGTCAACAGGTGAGGTGGTTTGCTGTCATGTGTGGTCAGCTTTTAAGTTTGATGTACTCGTGAATGAATCACAGGCAGTCATGTGACTTGGTCTCCTGTCTTTTTCAAGAGTGCTCACTGGGAGTGGATGTGCAGGCCGATGTAGTCCTGCTGGTCGATGGCTCGTACAGTATCGGATTACAAAACTTTGCAAAAGTCCGTGCCTTCCTGGAGGTTCTGGTCAACTCCTTTGACATCGGACCAAACAAAATCCAGATTAGCTTGGTCCAGTACAGTCGCGACACATACACCGAGTTTGCCCTCAACACTCACCATGACATTAACGCTGTCGTCAGAGCTGTGCGCACCTTCCCCTACCGCGGCGGTTCCACTAACACCGGCAGGGCCATGACTTACGTCAGGGAGAAGATCTTCGTCCCAGCTCGTGGAGCGAGACAGAACATCCCCCGCGTCATGGTCCTGATCACAGACGGAAAGTCGTCAGACTCTTTTAGGGATGCGGCCACCAAACTGAGGAATATTGATGTGGAAATATTTGCTGTTGGCGTGAAGGATGCGGTGAGATCAGAGCTGGAGGCCATCGCTAATCCACCGGCTGACACCCATGTGTATGAGGTGGAGGACTTTGACGCTTTTCAGAGGATCTCTAAGGAGCTGACTCAGTCCATCTGTCTGAGGATTGAACAGGAGCTGCTCAACATCAAAAAGAGAAGTAAGTAGAAGAAGATCAACTCCTTTACTATGATCTGGAGCTCAGATTTACTTCTCTTTCTGATGGTTTCCATGTGTTAGCACCTTCACACTGGTCCACAGGATATTAGACCCTGAAATGTGACTGCATTTTTAGCCGCTGACGTAGTGGCAAATAGCCAGAGCAGTCATGGAAAAGCTAAACAGAGAAACATATTTTGTAAATTGCTGTCAGACATGGCAAAATTGAATCATTTCATCAGAGTTGCCAATAAACATACCACAAAAACCACGGACGTGCCTCTTGAATGAGCTCGAGTGATACCGAGAGCTGCAGCCCAAAACACTCGACAATCAGCCAGTGTGCCGTCCAGTGCTTCAAGATCTCAACTTTTGAAATCCATATTTGTTAAACTACAGTAGCTTTATAAAAGTCACGTGCAGGTGAGGCTCTAACTACCTGACTACCTCTTTGATTTTCAGGTTTGCTTCCACCGAGCGATTTGCGCTTTTCTGAAATTACCTCCCGAAGCTTCCGTGCCACCTGGGTACCTCCTCTTGCCAATGTCTTGTCTTACCTGCTACGTTTCCGCAAGGCGGAAGATGTCACCGGAGACTACATTTCCCTGGCTTTGCCCGGCGATACCAACACAGCTGTCCTTCCCCATCTTTATCCCCTCACCACCTATGAAGTCAATGTCTTTGCTCAGTATGATAAAGGAGACAGTTTCCCTTTGACGGGTGAAGAGACAACTCTCGAAGGTAAGAGATTTACCTGAATTTAACAGAATGTAATCAAAATAAAAACACTGAGCATCTAAGAGTTGCGTTTTTCTTCTCAGAACAAGGAGCTGTAAGAAATCTACGAGTGACAGAAGAAACAACCAACAGTTTCAAGGTGTCGTGGCAAGCCGCGCCGGGTTCAGTGATCAGATACCGCCTGTCCTACGTCCCGCTGAGCGGCACAGGAGAGATACTGGAGGCTCAGACCCTTGGCCCAGAGACCACCATAGTCCTCCAGGAGCTCTTCCCCATCACTACCTACCGTGTGTCTGTGTCTGCTGAGTACGCATCCGGCCTTGGAAGCGAGATGCAGGTGGATGGAACCACCAAGGAGGGTGAGCGAGGACAACTGCTGACACTATTGTCAAACTGAAGTTTTGAGAAATGTGAATTTTGAGAAATGATGCATTTTGATCTGTTTTCAGTCCGCGGCTCTCCCCGTGACCTGCGTGTCTTCGATGAAACAATATCTACGATGAAACTGGCGTGGAGGTCTGCTCCTGGCAATGTTCTTCAATACCGCATTGCCTTCAAACCTGCTGAGGGAGGTGAGAGGAAGGAGATCTCTGTCAAAGGAGACACCACCCAGGCTGTACTTAAGAACCTCCAGCCAGCCACTGAGTATGAGCTGTTTGTCAGCGCTCGCTATTCTTCTGGTTTGGGCGATCCTCTCCTGGGCACCGGAACCACCTTAGAAGGTAAGAGACGCTGCCATATTGGTACTTTAAAGCCTTTGAAGCACAGTTGGATCATGTTTATTTCCAGTGTTTGCAGCATGCTTTGTAGATGTGCTTAGTATTTCCAGCTTAACAGGCCCCCTATTGTGAAACTACACGCATTTGGGAACTTGTTTCCTGTCCTCTAAAGGTCCCTGCACCAATAAAGTGAAAGTTGTGTAGTAGTTTGGAAGGTTGGTGTGAAAAATATGGAATGTGTAAGCGTTCTTTTACCACAGACTCCCCGACACGTCCTCACTCCTAAAGCGTAATATTTCACGCTACGTGACAAATCATCGATATATTACGCTTCCGAGCACCCAACACGTCTCTATGTTACGAGATCTGAAAAATGAGGAAACATGAGAACCGTTTGGAATCAATCTACACATGTATGTTCGTTTTACTTGAAACTGTTTAAAACGTCATTAAAGTGCTGGTTAGGGTTAAGGTTAGGGCTGGAATACCACGGGAGTGTCATTCTACTGGATTTCATCCGTAACCCGGCGCGTAGCATAAGAACGCGGGTGGTCACCTTTCGTGTTCCTCAGGAACGCCTCAGGACTTGACAAATCATCAGCATATTACGTCTCAGGAGTGAGAACGGGCTGGACTCCTAGCTCGGGGTGACTTTGCCACCCATGAAGGCAGTAAGATGGAAATGAGTGGGTGTGGAATGCTTGTAAACCTATGGAATGACTTGGAACTGACTTTGAGAGGCATATGCTCGCCTGCTGAGACCTTTGCATCTCTATGACACGCGAATGATTGTGTTAGAGTCGCTCAGCGGGGCTGTCTCTCTGTCAGTAATTGCTACTGATTGCAAATTCTGTTTATAAAATCAGGAATTTTATTAGTTGTGCATTCAGTTTTATTGGGGAGCTAGCTGTTCTGGCCCAAATTGTGGTTTAAACGGACAATAATTTGAATCTCAATAATGTGTGAAGAGATAAAGTCTGCTGTTGTTTTGGCCAAACTGTTAATAAAAGGGCAAAAAAGAAAGTAGACTTGGCCGATTTCACTTATGAGTCCTTTTTGGGTAGTTAAAGATCAGAGAATGAATTTTGCAGTAATAGAAAAAGTGGGACTGTGTTTTCTTCATCTTGTCGAGTGCCAAGATGAAAATGGCACGGTGGCTGTTTTTCATCACATCTAAGTTGTGCCTCATTTGAATCAGAGTCTTCTCTGAAAGCAATTTAAGCCCTTGGACATATTAAAGAGTACATTTCTTGGTCTTTACAATTATGTTGTTACATTGAAATCACTGGCGAGGTCCTGCGTGCTGGATATATCTGCTTTTAATAGGCTTCCCAGTGCAGGTTGAATAAGAAGACTCGAGTGCAAAAAATTAACTAAATTTCCGTCTTGAATTTACAACTTCAACAAAGCATTTTTGTGTAAATTTCGGTGACCATAAAAATGTGGATGAAAAGTGGTCTCGTCTTTATTTCTTGCTGTTCCCACACTGACCGGAGAGCCCAGTCTGGATTAAAGCCGTCTCCACAGGTCAAATCTGTGCAGTCAGCCCCACACCCCCACAGGAAAAAGCTCCATGACAAAGCACTCTGTTTAGGCATTTTTTATTAAGCTGTCATGATATCAGCATGCCTAAACACTGATCTCATTGTGTGCCACTCTTTTTGAGTGACCCACTCTGTGAAGTCCATGTAGGCAAGAACTGGAAGAAAGTGGCTCGCACAAAGGCCTCTCTCACGGCCAACAGAGGATGGTAGACAATACAGAAGCCTTGAGCAGAGCAGAATTAAATCATCCTGAAACGAGTGGGAGCAGAGAGAAGGTGTGACACAGAATGCTTACATCAATGTGTTAAATGTGGATATTATACACTAACTATTTACTTAAGGAGTGGGAGTGTTAGTCGGCATGTGGAAGATGTTACCTAAGAGGACCCTGAAAGCTGGGTGAGCTGTCTGTCTCGTCTCAGGGAGAGCCGTCTGTTCATCTTCCTCCAGGGTGGGGCAAAGGACAGGCAGGGGCAGAGAGAAAGGCAGAGGGAAAACAGGGTACTTGAAAATGTGAACCACAATGCCTCAGGGTGACCTGGTGGGATAAAGGGCTGTTTCTTCCCTAAGAGGTCAAACGTTCAACCCCTCATTTATCAAATGCTTAACTACCTGCATGACACCTCTGATGTGTTTATGCCATGAAGGACTTTCGAGCTTTGACTTGCACAAAAGCTCGGCACCAGGTGAGGTTGTAGCACTTTGGCTCGGTTTCCTCTAACCTATCCCTTTAATGAATTTTGTGCAGTGCCAGACTCTTTGGCGTGCCACATATTTTTTTCTACCACTGTAAAAGGTCCTTTGAGGTAAAAAGACTAGGGACAGGCAACCCTGGCTGACAGACACTGAAGGCTTGATCTTCGTGGCCCACGTGTACGTCTTAGCTGACCAAGAGCAATAAAGCGAAGGAAGCTTGAACCTGGCTGCCAGTGCTGAGATGGCACAATGTATTTCCCGATGTGATTTTGAAGGAGTTTGCAGAGAAAGCAAGCGTGCTCAGTCTAGTCAGGTAATATATACAGTGACCCACCTGAGTCTATGTAGCTGCGTAAAACGATTAGGACAGTGCTGGCAGGTTAGTCGTGTTTCCTCTGAATTTCTCTTGCCTGCTGGCACGACTGATTTCTTTCAAGTGCCGTCTGCAGTCATTTATATTTTCGAGCTTTAGACGTCATTGGCTGCAGATGTGAAGGTTATGTCGGCACATGCCCTGCAGGAAATCTCTCAGATGATCTTCGGTTGTGTCATATGCGGTTTTCTAGACATGGGTGAGGCCTTACTGTTATTTTGTGAGCCACCCTCGTTCCAGATCTTAATTTGAGAGTTCCTCGCCTTGATGGGTAGGATGCTCAGGAGGCGGGTGGGGTGTTATATAGAGGCGGCTATAATTGTTCTATTTTGATAGGTGGCACTGTAAACAATGCAACAAGATCTAAACATGTGTTTTGTAACCAAGCACTGAACTACAAACTGTGCAGAAAAGAAGTGAAACTTGTTTTTTTGCATTGCTGTAGAGGTTTTGCTTGGACTGGAGCATGTGTTTCCCCTTCTCTATAGCTTGTCTGCAAGTGCTGATGAAAAGTGAGCCGCTGTCTGCAGAAACCATTATGTTGTGATTTTTATTTTTATTTTTTCCACCGTTGGTTCACGCACAGCCGGTAAAGTCAGTCAAGTTCATCTGCTTGGCAAAGATAATTCTTTTGATGGAACAATCTGGGTATTTATGAGCGGTCCACGCTGTTTTCATGGTATCCATAAATCTGGAACTCTTCATTAATTTGTGGCCGTGGCCGTTGCGCTTGACAAGTGCCTCCTCTCTTTGCTCTCAAGGTGCAGATTTCTGCTTGGCAGGCACGCCCGGTGCCGTTACTTCCGTTCGCTTTCCAATTCAGCCAGACTGGATAAGTCGCAGGGCCTGAAATCATCATGCATTTCATTTATAGGACTTTTCTGTTCCATTACATTCTTTTCAACTGCATTTTTGCTTTTATTAAATCTCATTTGGTGAGGTTTGATAGATGAGGTTTGAGTGGGACCACCCAGCTGGTCAGCTCTGCTCTGCTCGCCCGCAGTGGGTTAGGTGTTTGAATGAGGATCAGGATCCCGGAGGTTGTGTGGGAGGCTGTGCGTGGCAGCTCATCCTCATCCTCCTGTGAGATATCCAGCTCCTCTATATGGCGGCCAGATTGAAGAGCCGTCTCAACACGAGCGTCCCTCTCAGCCAGGCGTGCGCTGGCCATGCGTTGCGAGACGCCACCGCAAAGTTCCCTTCCCTGCCTTTTCTGCAGCTTTCTCCTCTCATGACAGTCTCCTAGGAAAAGAGAGTGAAGGAGAAAAACGGCGAGCACAGCATCTGCAATTGTAGCGAGCGCACATTTCTGGATCGGGTTTCCTCTGCTTCAATGGAAAATTAAAGAGCTGTCAGGAGAGGTGCTGAGGATATGTGATTAGTTCTGCAGAAGTTTTTCCAACCGTCTCTTATTATGAAGGGAGAAAACTGTGGGTGCTCAAACACATCCTCAGGGGTTAAGGTGGAGACAGATGAGTGATGTCTGGTGGTTTATCACCGCCATTGTTCATTCCGTCCCTTTCGTCAGATCTTTATATGTCTGCATTAGCAGTACTAACAGCATCTCAGCCCAAATATAAAGTACTGAACCAACTCAAAACAAACTTCTATGTCTGATCTACTTCTGCCTTTGAATCCATCCCCCAGAGCTCGGCTCACCCAGAGACTTGGTGACCAGTGACGTCACAGACACCAGTTTTGCCGTGTCTTGGACCGCGGCCCCGGGTAACGTTCGTCAGTACAGGGTCACGTACAAGTCTCTGTTCACTACGGAGTCTGGGGAAGCAGTAATACCAGGAAGCAGCACCACCACAGTTTTGCAGGGTCTCACCCCAGAGACACGCTACGAGGTGTCTGTGTTTGCCGTCTACGGCCATGGAACGGGCCAGGCATTGGTTGGAGAAGAAACCACAGATGGTAAGTTACTCTTCTTTTTTCTTGGTCTGTTTCGCTTTCTTCATAGGCTTTCTGTGTGAAGTCTGAAGACTTCATCTCGGTCATGCCTAGAAAGTGTGAAGCTAAGTATGTGTGATGTCACCGTACAGCCATAAAACCACAGAAGACACAAAGGGACCTTCAGATATTTCCCCCCACCTAAAACACAAACAAAGCCTTAGGGCTTCTTGCATCTGTTAAACTCCAAATACGGTCCAGGAGCATCATCACTGAGCTTTCTGGGTCAGTGACGCAGGCTTAAAAGTGGTCCAGGAAAAAATAGTGTTGAAAGTGGTATTTTGTAAGCTGTAGAAAAAGGGAGCTGTCATCAGCGCTTACTGCTCAGTTCATTCTGTTGAGCTCAGAGATAACGTCATAGCTGATGCCATTCGCCTGAGCAGTAACGAATCTGGAGACTTCACACGCACGTCTTCGAGGCTGTGCATGTATGTTATATATGTGTGCAGAGGTGATGTCATGTCCAGGACACCTGCACGAATTTTCATGGGAGATCCAGAGCAGATAGGCCTCACTCATGCATATTGTGCAGAAACTTGCACCAGTTGGGAGGATTTTAGTTCAAGAGTTAGTAAAAAAGATTTCAAGGAAAAAGATTTCCAAACACTATTATTGTTTATTGATTCTGGCAAGCAGGAGAGGGGGCATACCCACCAAATACAACCATCCTATCTAGAACCTCCCTGGGCCGAAGCGACACGCAGCTAACTTGGATGTGCTTCCCTTTTCCATTAATAAACGTGCTCCCACCGATGCAGAGGGCTCTGAATATTTTCCTCAGCCCATTTCAAATCCTCTGACAATTCAACAACAACAACAACAATCTTTATTTATAGAGCACATTTAAAAGCCTTGGGCATACCAAAGTGCTTTACATAAAACAATAAAAGGTTCAAACATTGATAACGGATAAATAAAAATAACGAGTTATGTTCATAGATAAAAGCTACCAATAAGAATGACTACAGCACATGGGTAATAGCAAGATAAAAGCTGTACCACCATAATAAAAGACACCAATAGAAAGATAGGAGGGAATTAATACAAGAGGTCAATAGGTCACAGCAACCAAACAAACAAACAAACAAACAAACCAGCAATTAAAAGGTGGAGAAGGCAAGTTTAAAAAGATATGTTTTAAGCTGTGATTTAAAAGAATGAATAGAATCAGATGCCCGGATGCCAATCGGGAGATTGTTTCACAGCACAGGTGCAACAAGAGCAAACGATCGAGATCTGGGCTGAGCCAGCAGTAACTGTGACGATGACCTTAAAGCCCTAGCAGGAGCATAAGGGTTTAAAAGGTCCTTAAGGTAGCTGGGTGCAGTGTTGTTAGTAATTTTAAAAGTAAACAACAAAATTTTAAATTGAATACGATATTTGACAGGCAACCAGTGCAGATCGGCAAGGACAGGAGTAATGTGGGCAAACTTGCTGGTTTTAGTTAGAATGCGAGCTGCAGCATTCTGAACTGTCTGTAATCTCTGTAAAAGGGAAGAGTGAAGACCACAATAAAGTGAATTACAATAGTCTAGCCTCGACGTTACAAAGGCGTGGATGAGCTTTTCGAGATCTTTATGCGGGATATAGCGCCTAGCCTTAGAGATAAGACGAAGCTGGTAAAAACTAGATCTGACAACAGCAGACACTTGTTTGTCAAGTGAAAAGGAGCTGTCAAATAAGACACCCAGATTCCTGACAGTATCAGAGAGAGAACAACTAAGAAAACCAAAGGCATCCCGGAGTTTGGCACGAAGGGCATTACTACCAAAAATCATAATCTCGGTTTTCTTCTCATTAAGGATAAGAGAATTCGACAACAACCACTTCTTGGCCTCAGACATGCATTCTCGGAGGCTATTCAGAGACAGAGCAAGATCGTCGTTTAGCTCAAAATAGAGCTGGATATCATCTGCATAATAGTGATAAGCAATATGGTATTTCTCAAAGATGGCACTTAAAGGAAGCAAGTATAATGAGAAAAGGGTAGGGCCCAGCACAGATCCCTGGGGGACACCACAGCAAACAGGTACAGCCGAGGAAGAGGATGTAGCCAGATGTACCGTAGAGAGCCGATTGGAGAGATAGGATTTAAACCAATCCAGGGCAGCGCCCTTGATGCCTACAGTGTGCTCAAGTCTCGCTAATAAGATATTATGGTCAACCATGTCAAATGCCGATGATAGATCCAAAAGCACTAAGACTGAGGGGCGTCCGTTGTCAGCCATTAGTAGGAGATCATTGAAAACACGAAGCAATGCTGATTCTGTGCTGTGATGTTGTTTGAAGGCCGATTGAAATTTATCATTTATATTATTCTCATCAAGGTAGGTCTGCAGTTGGAGCAGAACCACCTTCTCAAGTATTTTAGCCAGAAAGGGAAGCTTAGAAATTGGCCTAAAATTGGCAAAATCACTAAGCTCAAGGTTCCTTTTTTTAGAACAGGTTGGATTATGGCATGCTTGAGAGCTGAAGGTACATAGCCAGAAAGCAAGGAGAAGTTCAATATGGACAATAAACAAGGTCCAATTACACTGAAACAATCCTTAACAATACGGGATGGGAGAGCATCATGTACACAGTTAGTATTGTTCAATTTATCAATTAGACGCTTCAGAGTGGAGAGAGAAACGGGTTCAAATTGATAAAAAGTGGCCGAACAATCAGGAGTAGACATACAATCAGTCACCAGAGGAAGAGTAGATCTAAGGGATAAAACTTTATCTAAAAAATAGTTTGAGAATTTTCCACAAAGACCCGGGGAAGACAGCAGTGGCATAGAGGGACGGGGGTTCACCACAGAGTTAAAAATTTTAAATAGAATTCGTGGATTATCACCATTAGTGGTAATAATTTTAGAGAGAAAAGCCGCTTTAGCCGTTCTGGCAGCAGTTTGGAACTTCGAGCGGCTAATACGTAAAATATCATAAGAAGACTGAAGTCTATCACTCCTCCACTTCCTCTCATCACGCCGACATATACGTCGTAGGGCACGAACAGAATCATTTAACCAGCATTGTGAGAAAGTTCTAGGGCGTTTCATTTCGATGGGTGCAACAATGTTAAGAATCGAGGAACAGGTGGTAAAAAGAGTATTAGTAGAGTTCTCAAGTGTGTGTGGGGAAGAACAATCCAGCATACTAAATGGGGAGTTAACAAAAGACGTAATAAAGTTGACCACAGTATTGGCATTAATAGTGCGCGTAGGATAAAGAGGAGAGTTTAGGTATTGTCCAGTATCACCCAGGTCTACATCGAAGATGACCGGGGAATGATCAGAGAGACCAGTATTCCTGATTTCCTTAATGCAAATGTCCACATTGAATGAAAAAACCAAATCAAGGGTGTGGCCTTGAACATGGGTAGGCTCATTCACCCACTGAATAAGATTAAAAGAATCAGTCAGCACAAGAAAGTCTTTAGCCAATTGGTCATTCATACAGCAGACATGAATGTTAAAATCTCCAGAAACAATAACAGAATCATATTTAAAAAGAACGGATCCCAAAAAATCAGCAAATTCAGAGATAAACATCTTATGATATTTAGGCGGACGATAGACCACGACACACAAAGTGGTCCGAGAGCCCGTCAGTTCCAATAGCTGAACTTCAAAACTGGAATAGGTTGGAGAGGATAGCAGCCGTGCATCATGTTTATTATTGAAAACCGAGGCTAAGCCACCACCTCTACCAGTTAGCCTAGGTGAGCTAAAGAAGGCAGAGTCAGGAGGTAGAAGCTCAGAGAAGGGGATGAACTCACCCGGAGAAGTCCAGGTCTCCGTTAGAAATAGGACATCCAGTCCCGAGGTGAGAAAAAAGTCATTTAGGAGGAAGGCCTTATTTGAAAGAGACCTGACATTAAATAAGGCCAACCGAATCCGGGGGGCCAGGACCTTTGTAGTAGCCCGTCGCAAGGAGCAAAGGTTGTTATGTTGAACACCGCGGCCAGGCGGTGTTATCCAAAATCGGGCAGAGTGGTAAGCAGGGTAGGTTTGAAGGCCGACGGAGCAAATCCAACGGTGGGTTAGCAATCTAGCCGCAGAGTGGCTGCTGAGATAGTGGAAGAAACAGGATAGCTCACGGCTTGTAGAAGGGAAGTCCATAGCCATGGCTCTGATATAAGCCTTAACGCGGACACGGACGCCGCTCCTCCTACCCCGTTTCCTGAGGCGTTTCCTACGGAGCATGGGAAGAGGAGGATAGGTCACATAGGTAGGGGAGACAGGCATCAGGGGGATAGCGGCACCGGCGGTCCCAAGGCAGTCAGGTCGTTGAGAACAGGAAAACCGAAGATTCAGGAGCGTGTCTCTGTCATAAGTTATTAGTGTACAATCACCTAGAGAACATAAAACCAAAGATAAAACAACGAGAAGTACAACGCCAAGGCGAAGACGTGGTCGGAGACGGTCAGCCATGCACACCGGCGCCATCTTGCTTCCACGTGACCACGCGAATGAGCGTGGTCAGAATTCACACTTGCCCTTCCTGCAGGGAAAGTAAGAAGCACTCAACAGACACACAAAGAATTTCCTCAAGATGTCACGGCAAGACATCAAAGTTTGGCGCCCAAAACCACCTATTAAACACAATCAATCATGTAACTTTGCATCTGTTTAAAGTGAGTAGGTTTGTATTCAGACGCGTGGAAAATGAGCCGATGAAAGCTACTGCGAGGTAGCTGACTGCGCCGTTTCCTTAGCAGCAGGAAAGCCTTGGTGATTTTATTCCCCCGGGGCCATCTATCCATCGTTTCTCTCTGATATTTGTTCCTTCGTTGCAGTTTCAGCTGCTGGCAGATCGATCGTCGTCTCAGAGGAGACGGAGAAGTCCATGAAGGTGACATGGCAGCCGGCACCTGGAAACGTCGTCAACTACCGCGTCACTTACAAACCACAGGCAGGAGGGCGCCAGCTGGCGGCCAAAGTGCCCGGTGGCACTACCACCACTGTGCTGAGACGCCTTACCCCTCTCACCACTTATGACATCACTGTGGTGCCCGTTTATCGCTCCGGAGAAGGCAAAGCAAGGCAAGGGGAAGGAACTACATGTAGGTTGGCCCGCTGTTCACTACACATCATGACACTGTAAATCCAGGCTATTATAAAGTCGTTAAAGACCCTCCACATCTGCCCCGATCAGTCTGTGTATTCCTTCCCCTCCAGTAACACCTTACAAAGGCCCGAGGAACCTCCAGACTTCAGAGCCCACCAAGACCAGTTTCCGTGTAACCTGGGACCACGCTCCCGGTGACGTTAGGGGCTACAAAGTCACTTACCACCCAGTGGAGGATGACATCGACCTGGGGCAACTTCTGGTTGGTCCCTATGATAACACTGTGGTGCTGGAAGAACTCAGGTTTGTCCCACTTTTTCGTGTTTTTACGGTTTATTATCAGACTCGTTTGGACTTTGGACTATGTTCTCCTGCATATTTTGTAATGAAAGTTGTTTTTTGGGTTGACAGAGCTGGTACCAAATACACAGTGAGTGTGTTCGGTATGTTTGAAGGAGGGGAGAGCATGCCGTTGGCTGGAGAGGAGTACACCACCTACTCTGACGCACCTGATCCTCCAAATTTTGACAAGCCAAGTAATATTACCCACATATATGTGATGTACATTGCACACGGTCATTGTAAGAATAAGAGAAGGCGCAGAGCACGTTCTATGCAAAAACAAATGAAAAAGTCTTAGTCATTCTGTTACTGTATCTGTCGTCCTGTTTAAGTCAGTGTCTCCAGAATGTTTTGTTTCTCTGTCAAACATCGGAGAGTGTGTCACATATTACATTTTTGTTTGGGGAAAAACCCCTCTGTAAATCCAAGCCACATAAAAGCTGAATACCTTTCTTTAAAGCGAATTGTCTCACGAAATAACAGATGTAATGGCAACTCCATCTGCCTGCCCTTTCCCTGCTTTCTTCGCCGTGTCACTTTGGGCTTCCGCTCTTTATTTCCAGTCCAGCCAGCGGAGATACGAGCCGTGCGTGTATAATCTGTTTGCACTTATAAAACGTTTTACTATCCAGTGAGTCAGAGCGTGGCAGGCAGCAAGTGTGAGACGAGGAAAGAAGTTGTGTTTGCTGCGAGGAAAGGTCAGCGTGACCAGTTAGCTGCAAGCCCTCTCCTAAAAAGGAGGCAGATGTAGACTCGGTGAGGTGACATAATCAGCGTTTCCTTGTACATCTACCGAGTAAGTGTCTGCACATTAAAGGCACTTATTCCTGGATCTTTATTGTTACAAACTATTTCAAATGACTTTAGAAAATCATATTTTACCTCCACATACCACTTCTTGGGCTTTTTGCCCACAGATTGGAGATGTTGTGTGTACTTCTAATGTGTAAAATCATGTAACCTGTTTTCAGTTGCAGACAGCAGCAGTTAGTGCGACATCTGCAGTTCTCTTTTAGGTACAAAGGATCGGATGACTTCCTTTTCATCACACAGGTGTTTGGAAAACAGGATGTGAATGTTTCCTCGCTGCTCTGCAGGGCACAATAATCTCCTCAGCGGAGGCCTTTAATATAAAGGGCACATTCTCCTGGGAGTACCCCGTGGATGGGAAAACCACTGAAAGAATTACTGCCTCCACATGCTGCCGAGTGAAGAAGATCATAATTATACCACCTGGAAAATAATTGTTATCCACAGAGGGATGGAAGAAAGAGCAGAATTATTTGTTGCGTGCATGTAGAGATTGTTTGTTAAGCATTCAGGAAATTGTTTGGATTTTTGTGGAAATTTATTGCCGTCAGCTCTTCTTTCCTCCCTTCTTTTCTTCTCACACGTCCTTGAAAGCTCTTCCACCATTACACTAGAGCATTTTTGATTATATTTGAAACTCATTTGTAACGTTCACCTGGGATCCTTCGTGACACGTGAACCTCTGCCCTGTCAGATACGATGTGTAGGACCAATGCTCAGGCTGACATTGTGCTTCTGGTGGACGGCTCCTGGAGTATCGGACGTCTGAACTTCAAGACTATTCGTGCCTTCATTGCACGTATGGTGGGCGTCTTTGACATCGGCCCTGATCGGGTCCAAATCGGTGCGTTGAATCAAAATAAGAATGATAAAGTATGTATTTGTTAATACAGCAAAGGTTTTCTTTGAGGTGCTCTAACTAAGATTTGGCGGCTTCTTTAGGGCTTGCTCAGTACAGCGGAGACCCAAAGACCGAATGGCACTTGAATGCTCACCGAACCCGAGAGTCTCTCCTGGATGCTGTGTCCAACCTGCCCTACAAGGGAGGAAACACCATGACAGGTGATTCGCTTCGTTTCTGATCTTTTTGCTTTTGTAGACGCAAACGAGCATTTCGCATTACTCTATGCCTTCTTCGTGGCAGGTCTGGCTTTGAACTACATCCTCCAGAACAATTTCAAAGAGGACGTCGGGATGCGTCCCAGCGCTCGAAAGATTGGCGTCTTGATCACTGACGGAAAATCGCAGGATGATGTCATTGCCAACTCTCAAAACTTGCGCAATCAGGGCATTGAGCTCTATGCCATCGGTAAGCAAAGAGTGGTGCAGTTAACTTGTGCTTTTCCTGCATCTAAAAAGCTGCTGCTGACCCTTGACCTTTATATCATTGTTATTTAGGTATTAAGAATGCAGACGAGAACGAGCTGAGGTCCATCGCCTCTGAGCCGAATGACATTCACATGTACAACGTGGCTGATTTCTCCTTCCTGCTGGACATTGTGGACCGGGTTTCTGACAACCTGTGTAACAGTGTCAAAGGGCCAGGTGTGTGAAGTCCAAGGTGTTTGATAAGCAGTATAATTATAGTGGACAGCATCAAGGATCCTCGTGAAAAAGCCACATTAGATGCAAAGAACGACCCCTGCATGAGCATCATTTACTCCCTCATACGTGGAAAAGCTATGAAGCTATGAAATGAGAAAGTTGGCCAGTTTCAGAGCTTTTCACTACATATAATTCACCCTAAATCAGTGATTTAGAGTTAATTATACGCAGCGGTTTCAAGCATTCTATGCTTGCATCTTAACAGGAGGCGCTCCAGATGCACCCACTAATCTGGTGACATCAGAGGTGACTCACCGGTCCTTCAGAGTCACCTGGGACGGCCCCGACGACCAACCAGAAAAGTACCGTGTGGAGTACAGGACTTTATCGGGAGCCCCACAACAGGTATTTGCCAAAAACACCAAAAAACTTGCTCTGCTTCAATCACACGCAAGTAATTCTAGTGCAGTATGTGAGTGTTAATGCTGCCCTGATGCTACTGGGAAACAACTTCTATTTCCAGCCACCTGTTTGTGTTGGCTTCTTGCTGTTTGGGTGTCTGATTACACTGCAGCTCGACACAGGCCAAGGAAACAAAAACAGCCGTCTCAGTTTCAGAGATTAGTAAGAAAATCTCGTGACTTTGAATGAGAGATGGCCCCGCTGGCCGGCAGCGTCTCGGCTCCACGGCGTGGATGTGTTTTTGAAGTCTGAAACAAATATGCAGAAGTTTGTTTTTCTGCAGCTCCCAGGGTTTGCTTGAATAGTGAACATTGTGGATTTGTTTATAGATGGTGAGGCTGACCTTTAGCCTGGTAAAAATTTACAGATTGTTTTCTGGGATTGATTGGAAATGTCTGTGAAGATATTCACAGTTCTGGTGCACATTAGTAAAACTTCATCAATCCTCTGATCCTCCTGTCTGTTATTAGGTGATCGTGGACGGCAGTCAGACCACTGTGGTTCTCCAGAGGCTGAACCCTCTCACACAGTACCTGGTCAGCGTCTACTCCGTGGTGGGAGAGGAGAGCAGTGATGCTTTGGATGGAAAAGAGACCACACGTATGTCCCACCTCAGCTCACTGAAAGAGACTGAGTGACTAAAACTCCACACACAACGTTAATGCAAACCTAACTTTGTAAACAGCGCTGCATATGACACTAGTAAAAATGAGCTAAATCGGTACGTGATGATGAACTGCAGATGTGACCGTATTTTATTGCACGCTCTTAAGTGGTTATCATTTAGAGTCTAACTCAAACAGACCTTTCGCGCTATTAGGAAAGCCAGATAAATGGGGCTCTGAGAGAGCTACGGTTTCAATTCGAGCAGACTCTGGTGCTCTCACGAACCCTGAGTCTTTGCTTTACGAGCAGTTGCCCTTTGAGTCAGCCGCCATCATGCAATCTCTCCGGCACGGTTGCGTAACACAAACGTAATGCAACTCAGAGACTGTAATTCGTGTGTGGTCTCCATTAATAAAAGGTTCAAAGGATATATATATATATACACATATATACGCACCTTGTTTGTGAAACCATATGTGGCTGCAAAAAGATGAAAGTACCAAATCTTGATTAGATGCAAATTAAGAGATTAAATTTGGTTTTAGGTCCAAATTTGAAAGAAAGATTATATAGTGTAAATGCAAACTTTATGCAATCAAAGAATTAATTATAATTGTGGCTATACAAATGCAGTGGTTAACAAGTATTTGCTGTTTCCTGGTTTTCCAGTTCCTCTGAGTGCCGTGAGGAGGATGGAGATTTACGATCAGCAGGTCACCACCATGAGAGTGAGATGGGAAAGGGCACCGGGAGCCACAGGCTACATGCTGCTCTACAGCGCCATCAATGCTACGCAGCCCACTACAGAGCAGGAGGTAAGATCCATTCTGGGAAACCAGAAGGCATCCAGCCAATCAGCTGTGGATAGAACTGAAATGGACACATTCACATGTGTTTGTAGGTTCATAACACGAATGCCTGCTCGCATACACGAGCACCAAACACACGCAGCGCCTCGCTAAAAGCACAAAGTGACCTGCTGTCAGCATTTCTGACTGAGTGCAGATGTCACACATTGAAATAACTTTTTACAAAGACACCAGTATTTGCCTCGTCACTCAGCAGCAAGGCAACAGGAAAAAATACAAAGAAACATTGTCAGCCACAGAGGGGTGGCTGAACCATGAGCTCACTCTGCCAAGGGAACATCATCATCATTTCTTCATGAGGTGTCAACCCCAGTGGGGCAAACCCAGATGCAGCAGATGTGCTCCAGTATTTCTCCTCACCATATTTCCCAGCCAGCGAGGAGTCCCCCTCATCTGCTTCCCCTCTCAACCTGTGTTGTTTGTTTGGTTTGGTCCGCTTCCAGATCAGAGTGGGCGGCGACACAACCGACGTCCAGCTGGTGAAGTTGCTCCCCAACACGGCCTACACGCTTTCCCTATTTGCCCTCCATGGAGAATCAGCCAGCGAACCACTGACCAAACAGGGAGTCACATGTTCGTAACCAGCCTATCATTTCAATGTTTCAGCACAAATTCAGAATCATTTTTGATAAACTAACAGAGTTTTTAACTCATGTGCAGTGCCCATGCCACCTGCGGGAGAACTGAGGGTTCGGGATATTACCCACAGCACCATGACGCTTGACTGGGATGCTGCTCCCGGTCCCGTTCGCAAGTACCTCATCACCTATAAGCCTGAGAGTGGAGATGCAAAAGAAGTGAGTTCGTCTTTCCTTTCATGGTATTACAACCGCTGTTATGACCAGTCCCTTCCTGCTATTGCAGAACCTCCTGTCTGTTATAGTCATTAGGATTTATGATGATTAAGTTGTTGGATATTTCTCGACTGATCCGTTATCACATTGTGGAGATTGCAGCTGTTTGAGTGGACATGAGGGGATTTTCTGGAGTCTAAAGAAATATTATGAAACTCTCTGAATGTGATTTTGCAAGGCTTACAGGCTGGTTCTGGTACTGGGGACTGGAGGAATACTTTATGGTTGCATGTCCCCATGTGGGAGTTGTTGGGCTACAGCAGCACATTCTGCAGGAAGTGAAGATTAAGGTGCTCTAAAGGTGGAAACACACTGAGCTGAAGATATGTGATGCAACACAGAGACATGGTGCCACTAACAACATCTTAACTTTCAGCTAACGAGTGAAACCAAGAGCACAAAGTATTTCGTGTGTTTAGTTTCTTCCTGTTTGCTTTAGTGTTATACCTGCTGGTCACACTGCTACCGGTTTTATGAGGTGCAGATTAGTGAGGTCACCAGAATTCCAGGAAACCTTCCCTGAGAACGAAGCCTTACACTTTTCCAAACGCGCAAAGTGATTCTTAAGCGCTATATATTCTTTATTGATACTGTATAATAACATTTAACAACTGTGTTTTATTGTTCTACAGCTGGAAGTGGGAGGACGCGTGACCAGCAGACAGTTGGATAACCTGATCTCTCAGACCGAGTACGCTTTAGCTGTTACTCCAGTCTACGACGAAGGTCCCGGACAGCCGATGCTGGGAGAGGCCATCACAGGTCAGAATCGTTACCATGGCGCCGGCCCCGTTTGCTGCTTCTGACCGAGATGGAGATCATAATTGCATTTTCTTTCCTCCGCTCTAAAGATGTGGTTCCAGCACCAAAGAACCTGCGATTCACAGAAGTCACGCATACCAGCTTTGTAGCTCACTGGGAGCATGGAGCGCCTGACGTGGCTCTGTACCGCATTGGCTGGGTTAAGAAGGGAGATGCCAACACCCAATACGTAAGAGAAAACCAGATGTCCGGGATGTTTATATTAGGAATAAATCATGCAGGTATTTCACGATGAGTCCCACAGTAGGCGTTTGGCGTTGCTTAGGAAAGACCTCCGGTGGAGGCAGGGAGAACATCTAAAAAACAGACGATGAATTTTACATGGCTTACATTTGGTTTTTATTGGCTAAGCTGTCTTTGTGTTTTCCTCATCAGGCCATTCTGAACAATGATGAGACGACCCACCTGCTGGAGAACTTGGAGTCAGACACGCCCTACGACGTGTCCGTCACTGCGATCTACCCGGATGAGTCGGAGAGCGAGGACCTGCTAGGCACCGAGAGGACATGTAAGACGCACACAGTGATGACGACTCAGTAATAACTCTAGCTAACACTGTATGCTTAAAGTATTTGTCACAGTTTCTCTTCTTTTGGTGTTAATTTTGCATTTTGATGCTGTGTGAAGTGTTCGATCAAGGGTTTGCCCATTATGCCTTTCTATTTCTGCCTCTATAGTGCGCCGTCAAAATGGTTCCCCACGTAAGTGTGTTCATAGCAAACCAAAGGGATGCTTTTTCTTTCAAGTGACAAAAGCATGTTTTATTGTTGCAACCAGTCATCAGAACCGTTGTTATTTCATCATCAAGCAAGACCCTTAACCCATCCATCGCTCCAGTGATGCTGACACAGCCCGGTTTTATTCTTACGTGTTTGCTTGTCTGCGTTTGTCCACGCCATCCTCCCACGGCTTCTTCATGTCCTTACTCGGTTACATGAAATGGCTGGATGGAGTTCCACCATGCATGCCTGGCAAAACAAGGATTTCAATCCCTGTTTTCAAAGCCCGTTCCATCAGCCACCATCAGTTCATTCATCCATCCATGTTCATTCATTCATCCATGCATTTGTCATTCATCATCATCATCATATCATTATCATCCTCCTCCATCTATTGTCCGTCAAGAGACACCTGCTTGAGAAAAGACGAAGAGCGACTGTCTTTTCTTTTTTAAAGCTGCAGTCCTGTTTAACGCTCATTGCTCTATTTTCTTTCAACCATAAACAAAAGGCAGAAAATTAACTGGCATCTGAACTCAAATCAGCCAATAATCTCAAGGACTGTGTCTTTAAAAGATATTTCAGTGATATCAGAAACGCTTTCAAAGGAAACCGTATAACTGCTGTTGGCGTAGCTTTAACTGTCATATATGTGCTTGCCTGTTGCACTGTGCAGTGCCTCTTCCAGCGCCCACCAACCTGGTTGTGTACAATGAAACCACCACCACTCTGAACGCCATGTGGACTCCACCGACGGGCCGTGTCCAGAACTACAAGATCTCTTACGTCCCCACATCTGGAGGCAGGATTCAGACTGTAAGTCACACAACAGTTAGCTCGTGTTTGTCAGTGTTTAGCAGCAGTGACAGGCTTTAATATTTTAGCTAGTGTCTCCTTTCTTTTCATCTCCTTCTCAGTCTCGCTTTAATAATCCAGACAACTGCGGTTTATAGTTTATGGCTTTAACTCAGTCGGTGGATTTGTTTCTTCCTCCACAGCGACTTTGCTTCCAAGAAATCTATACAGCTGTGGCATCGGTGTTCAATTATTTGAGTTTATTCCGAGTCAAATCTCATAATCTGTTGTTTGGATACAGCGGCATTAGTGTGGACAAAACCTTTCCTACTCTTTCCTCAGTATTTCCTGACGCTGCAGACTGTCTCCCGCTGGTCGTGCATTTTTGGCCGTCTCGCTGAATTTTCAAAAGTCTTTCTGGATGACGGCTGAATTTTTGGTTTCAATTTTCTGTCAGACGTTTCTCAGAGCTTCCACGAGCAAGAATTAAAACGAGAACCAGAAGCCTGAGGACGAGCAAATATCTACACACAAGATTTCACGCTGATGCGAAGCGTCTGATCGTTTATTTATGAGATTAAAAGAGATCAAACTTGAACGTCATAAAAGGTTGAGATGTTTGAAGAGGCAGAGTCCGGTCACTGGTGTCAGATATTATCCTGCAGATCAAGTTTAAAGTGCTGCCGTGCACTGGTCCTTCACACTTTTATAGCCACCTTTTAACAGGTGCAATCCAGAATTTGTCATTTTAGGTGACTAAGACTGGACGTTCATCAAACTGTTTGTATGTTTAAAATACGGCTCGGTGAGGTTTCTTCTTTTGGTTCTTGAAGAAATGTAATTGTGCTAATGGAAAAGCGGACGCTTACTTACGTGTTGGTTCAGTGTCCGGATTTCAACGTGTATGAGTAACCCTGAGTTAAATAAGTGTGTTTTTTGGAAATGGGCTGCACACATTTTGTACTTAAAGAAGAAAAAACTGCCGCAGTGCCAAATAATAAAAATAATAAGTGCCGTCTTGACCCGAAACGCAGTGATAAAACAAATCCAGCAAATGCAAACAGACACACACTCTCTAAGAATATTTACTCCTTATAGCAAAAGCCAACAGCGTTGCAGTAAATCCATCATTAGTCACAACAAGACATCTGACTGTTTCCACCATTAGCGGACATATTTACCTTGGCCACTGTACTGTATGCTAACCTTGTCCAAAAACACTCAGAGCATTCCACCTGGAAGCTTTCAGGTAGAATTCTTTCCATCAGGTTATCAATCTGAGAAACCCCGCAGAGGATACTTTATTCCATCTAAAACAGAGGAAATACCTCCTCCTCAGCACATAAAAGAGCTGCAGAGTTGTTTTTAAAGCTACAGCAAAAGAGACAGGAAATGCAGAAATATTTTAAGGACTGAAAAGCCAAGTGAAATTTACTAAACTAGGTAACTATGTTTCATTTGTTGTTCCCTAACTAGACCCAGGTTGGAGGAAAGAAGACTACAGTCCTGCTTCCTAAGCTGACGCCTGACACCGAGTACGCCATCAGCGTGGTGGCAGTCTATGCCAAAGGAGCTAGCGGACCGCTGGAGGGCATCGGAAAGACCAGTGAGTTGTGAACAAATATGACAGCCAAGTCTTGGATATATGAATACATCACACTCATGGAAAGTCTCTCAGTTTAAAAAAGCTCACACATGGTGTTCAGCCTTGTTGATGGATGCAACGTTATCATATCTTTATGTTATTCCAGAGCCTCTGGGTGGTGTTAGGAACCTGCGGGTAACTGACCCCACCACCAGCACCCTGACCGTCCAGTGGGAGCCTGCTGAGGGTAGCGTCCGTCAGTACAGGATCTTCTATGTGCCTGCAGCTGGAGGAGTGGAAGACATGGTAAGCAAGACATTAACAACGACATTCAGCCATCTCCAGTGGAACAACCCCGACATGATGTATGCTGTGTTGTATTTCTGCACAGGTGCAGGTATCAGGCAGTACCTACAGTACCGTCCTGAGGAACCTGGATTCTGATACTGTGTACACTGTGTCTGTGGTTCCCGTATATGCTGCTGGAGAAGGACTGCGCATGTCTGAGAACGGCAAAACATGTAAGCACTGCACGCATGCAACTGCTGCTGTAGGTAACGAGATCCACTGCAGATCCACGCGAGGTCGTTAGGCAGCGACAGCCACCTCTGTGTCATCAGGGTATAGAAAAGCCCACGCAGACCAAGAAGAAGACCTGTGAATGAGATGCCGTGACGTGGCAGTGGGATTTATTTTCCAGTGTCAGGAATCAATTCCCGTCTATCCGGAATGAACCGAGTGGCCTCGGCTGCTGGCCTGCTGGGTCAGAAACCTTCAATAAGGCAGCCAGTTGTGACTGATTTGTTTCAAAAATATCATCCAAATCCTCTGAAAATCTGCAATCCAGCCAGCTCAAATCCCATCTCCTTCTCCAGAAGTGAAAAAATACCTGAATAAGTCTGAACCGGGGTACCCGCAATTACCCGACGTCCCGGGTACGAAAAACGTCCATCAGAGAGAGCATTCAGCTGACTCGCTGGGACAGAGCTTTAAACCTTATCTGCAAACTGGAACTTAAAGCTTAAAATAAATGACAGCATTGAGCTCAGTCAGCTTAGTTTGAGTGAACATCGGTTTTCCAGTTTCTCCCACAGCTGAACCACCGAACTCTGCTGGGAATTAGTCAGCATTTTGTGGGGTGATTGCGCAGGAAGGAATTCCTCTGGCCTGGCAGCACTATAATGGTGTCTCCTCTCTCTTTACTGTAACATTGTCCATTTATAGGTTGAGTGAAGGCTAGCGGTCAGGGTTATGGCGGGGCTGGGGTATTTGGCTCCTCTCTGGGAAAAAGAAACAGGGGCTTTGAAATGAATAGAGAGCATTATATGTATGATTGCTCTCAGCCTGCTTTGCTGGGGTCATGCGCTGTGCCAGCTACTGTTACCCCCATTTTCCCTTCTGTAGCAATAGTTCATCATGTTCAGTGGCTTTTCAGTGGACAAGTCAAAGCTCACGCTGCCTGTGTACATATATTTATGTTCATTAACGTCAGGCCTTGAATCGGCTCTCGTCTGATTCAACCGTTTGAGCTAACAAGCTGCTCGGCGAGCATTCACAGCATCTTAAAAGTAACAAGCGTTGGTCTGTAAAACATTTAAAGTACGGAAGCTTGCTTACTTTTTTTTCTCCTGCGTTTATGGGGTTATAATTGAGAGCAGCACAAAACCTCCAAACATCTGCTTTGGCTTTTTAGAAGTCTAGCTTCACACAGAGCTGCACATAGGCCTTTCTGTATCCTTTTCATTAACCTTCAGGGCACTGACAGGAAGTGCCCTGTTGATAGCTGTATTGTTAAATAGCATCCTAAACTCGTCTCTGTTGGCTGCTGGGGGAGTTTTACTGGAGAGTTCTCATGTTGTCCTGTTCTGGCCATAAAATGAGTCCAGACCATGATTTATAAACCTTGACAAAGGGAGGATGACAGGACTACAGGAGATTCACAGAGGTGTTATTTAGATACTCGTAAACCTTTTCATCTGGAGTATTTACCAGTACTGGAACCCCAGTTATGCATTTGTGCTTCATTCTTATGGGTTTTGTTTAATTGTTGGTTTTTTAGCCTTAATTTATTGCCATTTTTGCAGTTGTCAGCCTTTCCTTTCCGTTCGTCCTCGTTCTCTTGCCCCTCTTTAATTCCTTCTTACCAAACAATATTCCTGTCCCTGCAGTGGAGCGCAGCCCCGTCAGAAACATCCAGGTTTACAACCCCACCACCAACACTTTGAACGTTCGCTGGGAAGCTGCCACAGGTCCAGTCCAGCAGTACCGGGTGGTCTACTCTCCTCTGAACGGTGCCAAGCCTTCAGAATCAGTGAGTTTCCAACTGCTGTGTGGGAATGGCTGATACGTAAATTATATTATTAGATTATACTTGAGAAAACTAACTGAGAGCAGGTTTATTTCTAATGCCTTCAATCATACAGAATGCGCACAAATATTGAGGATCACCACATGGAGCTGGAAGTGGGAGCATTTGCAGTTTACCGTGCAATTACTTTTAAAAGCACTCGGCCTGCTCACCAAACGCATTGGTGTGAGCGTGTTTGCATGTGTGCACTTTCTGCCATTTGGATTGTTTTGTGTAAATAAGTGCTTGAGTTTCAAACACGTTCATTAAAGCAGAAATTCTTTAGCTGCAGCTCCCGCTCTCTCCGTGCTGCGTGCCATCTGGCATCAGAGGGCCCACATCTTCATATGTTAAAGATTTCTGGGCAGCTCAAAGAATCCATAAAACTTTTAAAGCGTCTCTTTGCATCAGCTTTCTTCAACATCCATGCCAGATGGACTGCACCACTAGTTTCTTCACTGGGTCGCTAACGACAGTGTCTTTAAGAAGGTGATAGAAATTCCAGCATATTGATAAAGACATGCACTCAGCTTTCTTTTCCCCCCCTTTGGTCAGCACGTTTAGGACAGGATCGTGCCCTTTGCATGGCCAGAGCTAATTATGCGGGTCAGTGGTAATGTAGCCTGTTTCAGCCAGCACCACCAAATCCAACGCCAGCTGGAAATTTGCAGCGTAGCTTTTTAGCTTCATCATCATTGGCTGCTGAGTCCTAAGCCTAAGTTTGACCAGGAGACACTGTGGCATGATTCAGACACCCACAAACATGTTTGAACCTCCACCAGGCCAGAGCGCTGACCTTAGCCTGTCCAGATAACCGCTCTGAGGCTAAGGACACACGATCAGCTGTCACCTCCATCAGTGCTGGCTGTCACCCACCTAGCCCCCTTTTCTGTCCTTTTTTAAACCACTATCACACCTCTGAACATCAAAGGACTGTTTGGCTCTTCCTTTCACTGCTGCTGACAACAAGGAGCCATTCAGTAAAAGGCAGGTGTAGAAAACAAGCAGCTGCCAGACGAGAGGGGCAGAGTCTGTGGCTGCGTGAATGTTGGATTTGGCCCTTTGGTGCATGTGTGCATAAAAGCTCACTTATTTTGTGTCTCTGCACAGATTCTGGTACCAGGGTCAACCACCACAGCCTTGTTGCAGCAGCTGCTTCCAAACACTGATTACAATGTGGGAGTTGTTGCTCTGTACAGCGATGGCGAAGGACCTGCTATCATGGATGAAGGAAAGACATGTAAGAACCCGGGCCAGTGTGTTTTGTTAGCAGCTCTGAGACGCGCAGGTGTTTTCAACAAAAATGCAAAACCATATTCTTCTTCCCGTTTCTGTGCTCAGTGCCTCGAAGTGCCCCGAGGAACCTGCGCGTATACGACCCCACCACCACTACCCTCTCTGTCAGCTGGGACCATGCAGATGGTCCTGTCATGGAGTACCGCATCACCTACGCCCAGATCACAGGAGACCCGATTGAGGGATATGTGAGCATATTTATAATTCGACAGCGATGTTTTTGTGGCCATAAATAACAAAGGCACTTGTTTATGCATCCAATTCTTCTGCTTGTAGACTACAGTGCCAGGAAACCGAAACAACGTGATCCTGCAGAACCTGGACCCGGACACGCCGTATAACATCAAAGTGACCGCCATCTATGCTGATGGAGCAGGAGGAGAGGTGGATGGTGACGGACGCACAGGTACAAGCTGTTCCATCTGTGCGACCCTGTGAGAGTTTTTATTCAATAAGCGAGTGTTATTGATCAGCGGCGAGCAGAAAATCCGAACGGATTGATTCACTAATGAGGTTCCTGAGGAACTGAACATTATACCAAACGTGGAATAAGTGATATTGTTGACTTTTAAAGAATGCCAAAAGCACAAAATGCCTTTGGCAGAAAAGCTGCCTGCACTCCAGTGAAGGAGATCGTATCCTCGTAGTGCTGGCCAGAGTCTTGCCTAACTTTGCTTCTCAAACAAAAGAAACACTATTGCGTATCGTAATGCCGCTCCGCTCCTTCAGGCAGATTATTATTCTTATTATGATTTTTTTTTACTTTCTTTCATGTGCTGGAATTTATCATCCCGCTAATCGCACATTAGAATATTTCACTCAATGTTATTATGAGCAGTGAAGTCAGATGCAGAAATTACCCAGCTGCTGATGGATCACCAAAACTCAGATCCTGTGCATCCCATTACAGTGAACCTTATCCTGTGTTGACTGCGCCGCTCTGTCTTTGCTTCCTGCAGTGGGAATGCTCGGCCCCAGGAATCTGCGTGTTTCTGATGAGTGGTACACCCGCTTCAGGGTGTCCTGGGACCCCGCCCCCTCCAGGGTTAACGGATACAAGATTATCTACCAACCTGAGGGTACGGACATGCTTTAGCATTGGATCAAAAACTATATATCGTTGTTGTTGTTTTTCTAGTTGTATGAGTTGTTACTAGACAAAAAGCCTCATTGCTTACATGCAAGTCATATTAATGTTGCTTTTCAGGCTCGGATGAGTCCATGGAGGTGTCTGTTGGAGACGTAACCTCCCACCAGCTCCATAACCTGAAACCTGGAACCACCTATGACCTGAAGGTGTTGGCACAGTACAACACGGGTGACAGTGCACCTTTGGTCGGTCAAGGCACCACCTGTAAGTACGCTGCTACCTGATGGTTGATGTCTGGATCGGATGGATTTGTAATGAGCTGCGTTTGCTTGTCTTTAGTGTATCTGAATGTGACGGACTTGAACACCTACAACGTTGGCTACGACTCCTTCTGCCTCCGATGGGCCCCTCACAGAGCGGCCACCTCTTACAGACTCAAAGTCAATCCTTTTGATAGTAAGTTCAGTTCACCCGGTTACACGTCACAGTAACGTTTTAGAATCAGTTGCTAAGTCGCTCTCCTCTTTCCTCTCCTTTAGCCTCCAGGAGCGGGGCTCAGGAGATCACCGTCAGAGGCTCAGAGAACAGTTACTGCTTTGACGGCTTAACCCCCGACACTCTTTACAATGCCACCGTGTACACGCAAACGCCCAATCTCGAGGGACCTGGAGTCAGTATCAAAGAGAGGACGTGTAAGGAAACGGCTGCTGCTGGAACTTCCTGTTTCTTTGATGTTACAAAGATGTCATTTTACCAGCTATGATAAATTCATACATGCGATTCTTTCTTGCGTTGCAGTGGTTAAACCCACCCCAGTGCCAACAAAGGCTCCCACTCCTCCTCCTCCAGCAACAGTCCCACCTGCGTTAGATGGTAAGGATAGCTTTAATCAATGTATTTACTTTGTCCAGGCGCGATCAGCCTCTAACGTTGCTTTACCTGCATCGCAGTGTGCAAAGGTGCCAAGGCCGACCTGGTCTTCCTGATCGATGGTTCCTGGAGTATTGGAGACGACAGCTTCAATAAAGTCCTCCAGTTTGTTACAAGCATGACTGCAGCCTTCGATGTCATCAGCCCTAAAGGCATGCAGGTCAGCTGATGTTTCGGTGGCTTCTTAAAAAAAAAAAAATCATGCACATATTTCCTAATATCTGTGTTCACCGTCGTCACCATCCTCTTATTTTTGTTCTCGGTGAACAGGTTTCATTTGTGCAGTACAGCGATGACGCCAGGACCGAGTTCAAACTGAACACCTACCACGACAAAGGCATCGTGATCTCAGCTCTGCAGGGCGTCCGCTACAGAGGAGGCAACACCAAGACAGGTGAAGCTCTGGGGAAAAAAAGCTGCAAACTTAAAGTTCTGACTGTAGTGAACGTTTGAGGTTCAATGGTCTTCTTCTCCCGTTTTCTTCTTCGTCCAGGCATTGCTTTGAAGCACGTCTATGAGAAGGTGTTCACCTCAGACAACGGCATGAGGAGGAACGTCCCGAAGGTGCTGGTGGTCGTCACGGACGGACGCTCCCAGGATGAGGTCAAGAAGAGTGCAGAGAAGCTGCAGCATTCTGGTATGTGTGGAAATATGAATCGCTGGCTCGTGTGTTTGCATTTGTGCTATAGAAGAAGTAAAACAGGGGAAGCATTTGCTCCTGAACGTCGATTTAGTTCATCTGAACCAGACTTTCTGGCCTGTTTAATAAACTCTTGTATTAATCCCCGCAGCGGGTTTTTGTTGCAGACTTAACAATGGTCTTTGTTTGTTTTTGTGTGTTTGTGTTTTGCGCCGACAGGCTACAGCATGTTTGTGGTCGGAGTGGCCGACGTGGATATGACCGAGCTGAGAAGCATCGGCAGCAAGCCCAGCGAGAGACACGTGTTTGTGGTAGACGACTACGACGCTTTTGCCAAAATCCAGGACAACCTGATCACCTTCATTTGTGAAACAGCCACTTCCAGTGAGTTTCATGTATCAGAAAACAACAACTAAAGTTTAGTTTCACTCGCAGGCGCAGACAAAAACTTTATTAGACGGGTTGATTAGTGAACGGCGGAGTTAAGGGGAAGCTCTCCCTTTGTCGCGCGCTCCTACCGATCCATTGCCTGGGGAAATATATAAAGGCATATAAATCACATTCTTTCTGCCGTAATCTGTTTTTCCAACTCATTGTATCTTTTCGTTGTGTCTCAGCTTGCCCTCTGATCTACATCAATGGATTCACCACGCCTGGTAAGCACACAACATCACCATGCAGTGTACACAGCAGATAATCCCTGCAGAGTTTGTTGACATTGCTAAATGCTGTTATGTGGTACACTAGGAGGTTTCTCTCGTTGTTCTTCCCCTCCAGGCTTCAGGATGCTCGAGGCGTTCAATATCACAGACAAGACATTCGCTGCCATGAACGGTGTGTCCATGGAGCCGGGCTCCTTTAACAGCTACATCGCCTACAGGCTGCACAAAGATTCCTTCCTGAACCAGCCCACCAAGTAAGAGCTGAGGGTGTGCATAATCGCAGGTTACTGGCCTTATCGCCTGCACGCTTCATTATTCGTAATAAAGTTCAACAGCCTCTGCAGTCACAGAGGTCTCCCCGATGCTCAGGCCTGTTTATTGCTGCAGCTCATAGAATATGAGGTGTTAGCAGGAACATTTTGGGTGTAGCGTTTTAATCCCCAGGACCCCCACCCTCCCACCTTTTTCTTACAAGGAGAAAACAAATCACCGCTGAGTCAAGTGCTTTGTCTCTTTATTGGGCACCATTTAGGCGTTGTTAAACACTTGCACAACAGCTGTAGTGTCCAAAAGTCTTCTTAATATGTTTATAATGATGCGACTTTAGTGTGCGTGAGTGCAGCATTTGTCTTATGCACACAAGTGGAAACACTTTCAACCTGAAAGAAGACAGAAAATCCTTTCAACATGTGCACAATTTAATCAAGGCCATGGGAAAAACATGTGCCGGCTGTGTCACACAGTAGACCATTTGTTATGCATATCATTATTAATCTGCTACAGTAACGAGCGCACAGCGTCTGATCACAGGGTGTGATTTTTCACAATTACAGGGAGATCCATCCGGATGGTCTTCCCCCTTCTTACACCATCATCCTGCTCTTCCGCCTCTTGCCCGACACGCCCTCTGAAGCTTTTGATATCTGGCAGATTGCCGACAAAAACAACAACCCTGAAGTCGGGGTCACGGTCAACCGTAAGTCTCCCCTGCTGAATATTCTTACCCTGAGCTGTACACTCTTTAAAATCATACTTTGTTTTTTTGTATAAATCACTAAAGGTGCTAGTTGCAAAGCTTCAGGACATACTGCTTGAAATACAATTGGACTTTTTTGTTGTTTCGCTGGGAGCTTTAACTCTTAAAACAGCACCTTGTTCAAACCATGTGCATGCACATAACCACAGGAATTGTCCTAATCCCTCCGAGCCTTCCCTTTATCCTTCCCTTTATCCTGCTCTCTCTGCGAGCATGTGTTCTCTATAGTCTGTGCTTTGCGTGCCACTGCGCTGTAACACACTGTCAGGGATTCATCAAAGGCTCTTCTCTTTTCAGCTTCCAGCAAAACAGTCACGTTCTACAACAAGGACACCCGAGGAGAGATCCAGAGAGCCACATTTAACGAGCAGCAAGTGAGGCGGGTTTTCCACGGCAGCTTCCACAAGGTAAACATCGGGCGTGATTCTTAAAGAGAGGAGCAAAGTGACATTTTGGCTTTAATGCGAAAGACTGGGAGTCTTTTGTTTGTGAGTTGAGCGCTGCTTCTCCTTTCTGAAGGCTTTTGTGTTTTCAGTCTTTTCACGTCTGTTTTTACATCCTTTCACACTCTGTGGCTTCTATGCCTCCTTTCTTTTGGCTGAATTACCTTTTAATGCGAAGATTTGACAAAACATTCAGGGTCATGTAGCCGTATCAAAAGGTTCCTGCTATCAATCTCAAAGTGGCAACCTGCTGTCAAAGTGGCCCCTTTTTACACACACACACACACACACACACACACACACACACATATATATTTGTGTGTGTATGTATGTATGTATGTATGTATATATGTATATATATATATATATATATATATATATATATATATATATATATATATATATATATATATATATATATATATACATACATACATATATATATATATATATATATATATATATATATATATATATATATATACATATATATATACATACATATATATATACATACATATATGTATGTATATATATATGTATGTATATATATATGTATGTATGTATATATGTATGTATATATATATATATATATATATATATATATATATGTATATATATGTATGTATATATATATATATATATATGTATGTATATATATATATATATATATATATATATATATATATATATATATATATATATATATATATATATATATATATATTTCTTTAATTTAAGCCACGGCCAGTGAATATGACAAATGGGCTGTGGAGGCTATAAATAAGTTTTAAAAACTTTGGCTGGAGGGAAATTCTGCTGCAGACTGTTAGAGTGAATCATGGCGGTCTGACCACATCAATACTCTAAGCTTTCCTGGTAGTTGTTAGATGAATTCCAAACCAATCTGCTCCTCGCTGTATCAATTTTTATGTGGGTTCAGTTGACTTGCTTGCATTTTTTCCACAAACAACACGAAACATCTTCATTTAATTCCCCAAAAGACATTCCTGCAGGTGCATGAAAAAGCGTCTTTCACCTGACCTCCCCGTCTGCTAAATGTTCTCCGTTTTCAAACTAAAAGCTGAAATTTCAGGACGAGTTTAAGTTAACGCTGAAGATATAAAAATCAGTAGCCCCCGTGATGAATCGGCTGAAATTTGCTTGTGCGATCGGTGGAGATTTGGGCTGGAATGTGTACTTTTCTCATTGTGAAAGCAAGGAAACACATTATTGGCGGAATGCTGCAAGGACAGTGAGCGGTGGATTTAAGGCTCCAGGATCCAGATGTTTGCAACTGTCTTGATGAAACATTTTCTTTATTTTGAAACCATCATCTGCTCCAGATTTCCTGTGAGAAATTAAGCCAGAACTCCTAAAGTGGCACGTATTTAAAGATTCGTGAACATCAACTCTTCAAACAATCGGCCAAAACCTCTCATCTTACACAGAATATCAACAACAGCGGCGATATTGTGTTTCAGACTGTTTCTTTCCCTTCGTCGGTTTAGCCGCTATATTAGGAACACATGCCGGGCTTACTACTGTGATAAACCATTTGTATTGTATGCTTTTTCTCTGGGCTACAGAAAGCGGTAAATAGAGACATGGACTGTCTTTGTGGCCAGTGCAAAGCATCAGTGACTTCAAAACATCCCCTGTTCTGTTTCAGCACAGTAAGACGGTATATTTTACAAACCTGGAAAGATTTACGATGCTAAATTGATCACCGGGGGGAAAGCAGCTGGTTTCGGTGTACTCCAAGTCACAACCAATTGCATTTGCTATTTCTAGACAGCGTCCTCCGTATTTAGTACACTGTACATTTATTCTAAGGTCATCGAAGTAAACGACCCTTTTCGACATACAGACATCTTATCTGACATCAAAGATTGCCACCCCACTTCCTGACATGAAAGAGCTCAGCGTGATGTACTGGCCCAGAGATCAGAGCCTGCAGCAAATTACTTTTTAGTTTGACCATTTAGCGTCTACACAGCTAATTGCAGGGTGACTTCATGAATGAATGCGACCCTGGAAAATGTTGGGTCAGGATTGGATTTTAATTGCATCACAGTCGGTCGAGTCTTCGGTGCGTGCGATTGCGCGTGCATGTGCGTTGCATGAGCTGGCGAGTCTGCAGCGGTCTACCTAGCTGCTTATTTGCTGGTCTGCTGAGTAAATGCCGCTGCTGACTGCTGCGGTGGAGTGTGTTTACATGTTGTCAGTGGTTTTCCAACACTTTGTGGCTATTACAGACTGACCTCAGCATGAGTGTGCGCAGGCTCAGCCAGAGTGACCACTGATGAGACTCACAAATGATAGTTGGGTTTTTTTGTGGGTGTGCAGAAAAGCGAAACGCAGTGAGATCTGAAATACGGAGTGAATACAGATTTAGTGAAGACTTACTTTCTAACCTTACACCTCAGCTTTCATTGGATCAGCTGGTAGAGGATATCATCTGCTAACTGGAACTGAATCAATCTCTGTCTGCAAGCCAGTCCCGATGCTTTCAGTGGAGTCTGGATGTGCATGAATGTTAGACAGAAAGCACTTTGTGTCTTGTAATCAGGTTTTTGACTCGCTTCTAGAGTATTTTCTGTGTCCTTCAGGCTAGTTAATAAAGAGTAACCCAAGCTGGGGAGGTCGTGGTCAACTGCTACTTAAACATGTGGGATCACTCTCTGAGATGGCTATAGCAGATGCTAACCACTCACTAGCCCCACTGGGGAATTCCCGCCCCCCACCACATTTGACTGATGGGAACCTTGCTGGTAACCAAAGATTTTTTCCATATGTCATGATGACCAATCGCGTGTTCACTGCTTAAAGTTTGATCATGTAAGTTGTTGTAATAGTGAAAAGTACATTTTAGTTTGCGTTGTCTTTGTTCATGAAGGCGGTGCCAGTGTACCGCTCTTTGTGAGCCCAATGCCAAATTGTTTATAATCTTCATTTCTGACAAAAAAGTCGACAAAGTTAAAGATAATTCAGTTTTTTTTTTCATAGAGAAGACTTACACCTGCTTATTAACAGGGCTTTGAGTCTTTTGAGGTTCAGGATTGGAAAAAAAATGGAGGAAGACGGAGGACGGAGCCTAGAGCAACAAAATGTGATATTATATAAATCTCGGATGTCATGTGCATTGGAGCGGCGACGGTGTCAGCTTGAAATCTCACCATATGTGCTGTGACTGTGGAGTGTTGACACAGCAGAGCACAGTGAAACCCTCTGTGTTAACAATTGATGAATGAAAGTTGTTCGTCTGTCAACGCTTTGCTGCATTTGGACAAAATCATTTAACAGCAACCATCAGCTGAGGGAGCGCTGGTCATTATTTTTCCTGAAGCCTCAATTTCCAGTGACACTGTGTTTTGTTTTGTTTTTTTTTACTGTGTTTACTTGCTGGTCAGTGAGGTAATGTGTACAGTATACCATCCAACCATGTTTTGGTAAGCCCTCAGGAGCATCGTGGCGAATTATATCCACGCCAGGACCTGGGGATAAACGGCAGCCCTCTCTCTATGTGGTCTCACCAGATAGTTTGTTCTGTTTCCAAGGAAGTAAACTATAATTTTAAGATTGATTGCCAAGAACTATGGCCTAGTCTGTGGTTGGTATAGCTTTGTAGAAAGAATTGGTAGCTTGCTTTTCCTGACATAAAGAAAGCTTGTCTGACTGATAGGCAGAGGAAAATGTGCAACTCTGAAGGGAAACTATGGAAAGTGTAGGACTTTTGATGGCACACCGCAAAAGATATTATTTCAAGATGTGGAGCCGGGTCCTCTGAAAAGGAAACTTCAGAAACTGGCACTTTGTCACTCTGTGCTGTTATACAATCACTGACTAGCACTTTAATACCACATGGAAATGCCAGTGTTGTATATTCCCACTTTACGGTCCATTTATCTGTGGAGGCATCAAACAGCAGCTCAAAGACTAAACATTTCTAGTCTCATGGTTTCACTTTCTTATAAAGAAAAGATTAATATTTAAACGGCAGCCAAAGAGATTTAAATGCCAAACCAGCTTTTCAGAAGCGCCAATGTTCTTAGAAATATTTGCCAAATAATCGTTGCAACCAACTTGGCAGCTGAGGAGACAAAGATGTTAATGGTGCCCTCTCTTCATCCGTCCCTCCTGCAGCTCCACATCACCGTCTCTCCAGAGAAAGTCAAGCTCAACATTGACTGCCAAGAGGTGGCAGAGAAGCCCATCAAAGAGGCCAACAACATCACACTGGATGGCTATGAAGTGCTTGGCAAGATGGTCAAGTCTGGAGGTGGAAGGAGGCAGTCTGCTACAGTAAGTCAAAAAAACGAGCTGGGACTCATTAAAACTGCAAAAGTTTGGAAAAACGCTTTTGGAAGATCATCTCTTAAATTTCCAAAGAAAGAACATCCAAAACTTCTTGTCCATAGATGCACAATTCACTTTTAACTGCTCCCACCGAATGCGTCTGTCTTTTAACAGCGTAGGAGCCATTTGTTAACAGCCTCGCTTCTTCTGTTGTGTAGTTCCAGCTCCAGATGTTCGATATCGTCTGCAGTTTGAGCTGGATCAGCCGAGACAGATGCTGCGACCTGCCTGCAACAGTAAGAACAATTTAGAATCGTGTCGTAAACAAGCCAGAAGGCCGCTGACATACATGCGCACTGTTCGGCTATTCTGCCACATTTGCTTCCCATGTTCTCTCTGAAGCCTTTAATCTTTGCTGTTAGCTGTAACACATCTCCAGAGGTCCACTGTGACTGTATACACTATCCTGGGTTTACAGCCCAAAGTCTACGTTTGCTGGTATGTGGTCATTAAGCAAAACGCTATAGTGCTGTTTGAAAAGAAAGCGCCTCAGCTGGCCTCAATGGAACCTTGTATCCTGTGTAATTGTGCTAATCGCACTATTGCCATCATGACCTCCCGATTACATGAAAACAAACGCTCCTTTAGATCACCAAGCACTCACTAAATCACATTTACTTTGATGCATTATGGTAAAAACCGGATGCATGCACATTTAGGCAATTACAAGTTCTTGTATAATTTGCATCACATATTAATCCATCATGTCAATGATTCCAGTCTTATATAACACATCACATCAACCAATCATTTCCATACGTGGACAGCGTTTGGTCCTGAAGCTTCACGATGACCAGAGTTTGTTGGGATACTGTTGCCTAATTGTGTAATTGTATGCTACAGATTTCAAAGACAAGCCTTCGATTGTCAGTTGGTGTTAAATATGCAATAATAATGTGTGTTTCTGCTCAACTTTGGTCCTTTTCAGAGAGATGAGGCCAAGTGTCCATCCCTTCCTCACTCTTGCACGTGCACGCAGGACAGCATCGGCCCCCAGGGACCTCCTGGACCTTTGGTACAGAAACTCCCTCCATCATCCCTTAATCTGCCTTCACTTCCTCTTCCTCTGCGTGTCTTCACCTGATAAAGCAGTTTTCTCAGAAGACAGAAATATTTCAGAGATGATGATGATAAAGCCAGACCGTTCTCTGTTACAGTGACCATACAGCTTCACATTTGTACTCAAACACACTGAGGATGTTTTTTTTAATCTCTGGAAAGAGCATTTGAGGATGAGACAAGTGGCACATGTGAAAAAAAAAAAGTGGGCTTGGGGAAAAGTGTCAAAAGATAAATGCCTGTCGGAAAAACGGCAGTACAGACGTCTTGAGGAGAGGTCTGGAATATGTGGGCTTGGTAACCTCACTAAGCCAATGCAAGGATTTCGCTGGCTTTGGGGCTTTAGGGGTTTTGGAACTTGCTCCTGTTGTTACACTCACTCGGATTTCTGGCTCCTCACTTTTCTAGGGAAGCCCGGGCACCAAAGGACCTCGAGGAGACAGAGGAGATCCTGGCAAGCCTGTAAGTTAAACTTGACATCACTGTAGGCTTTGATTTTATGAGGCTCCTAAAGTAAAGTTAGATATGTGATAAATCTGCTTCGCGATGCCATGGTATTTCGCAAGCTATTGCAAATTGCACACATCTGAAGTCAGTTATCGACTGTATGTTTTTCCACAGCTACAGTTAGAGGGGCCTATGTTAGGTAACCTAAAGGCTCGTTTCCCGAGGCAATCATTGTCTATATGTGCAGTTAAAGGTTTGCTTTAGGTTGCCAGAGGCTGTGTAACATTTCGTTGTATGTTTCGGTTAATGCTTTAGGGTTCGATGGGTCCACGTGGTGAGCAAGGACTTCCAGGTTCGATGGGACCACCAGGTCCACAAGGCCCTAACGGACTCTCTCTGCCTGGAGAACCAGTAAGTTCATCCACACTCCAAAGAAATCCTCTGAGTAGATGTACGTTTCCACACTATCACTGTTTTTTCTTTAAATTACCGTTCACATGTGCTGATAAGTGAAGTTTGTGTGAAAGTTGATGAATAGCTGATGTAGTTTACATTTTGCCAGTGAGTTGGATTTATAACTAATGTCAAAACACATCACACTCCCCTCGACGTGAAGAAAGACCAGAGGGCTCGCTTAGGATTTTTTTTTTACCTGCAGATGTTCTTGTGAAAACACAAAATCAATCACAATCACAGGTTCACCGAAAGAAAACAACCCCAAAGACTAAAGCAAGCTTGTCTTTTCTCATCCTCCATCTTCAGGGTCGCCCAGGACCGAAGGGAGATCCCGGAGACCCAGGCATGCCCGGTCTGCAAGTACGTACTTCTCTTTATTTTGTGGTTTGTGAGCAGGAAACGGGAGACTATCCACAGAGAGCGGTGTTGCTACTGGAGCCTGGATTTAGTCCATATGGCTGGATGAAAACCACACTCAGAGTGGGAGGTTTACCATGCCATCCTCAGGGAGTCCCACACTCTCAGATCAGCCCACTGATTGACAAACGGTAGAAGGCCGCTGATGCAGTTAAATTATTATGAAGTGCAGGCTCATGTTACCAAAGGGGAAATGGGGAATGGAACATGTTCTTCTCCAGCCTTGTAACTGAAGATGATTGGGACGTGGTAAAGACTTGCACTCTGTCTGAAGTTTGAGCATCTTTGACTTATGGCAGAAGACATCCTGCTGAGCTTGTGGATGAAAATGAAGGTCAAATAAAAGCAGACTCTTGGGAGTTCTTTGAGGTTGCACGGATTTTTTTTGACTGTCAGAAGCAAATATGAAGTTAGGCCAAATCCATTTTATATAATAGTTAGGAATTTTCTGGATTTGAGAGGCTTGGTATTGCGTAGCCATCATCGCTTCACTCATCCAGCCAACTCCCACCGTTCAGTTGGAGAGAACCTCACTCTTGGCCATTCTGGTCCTTGAATAAGCAAATTCAGACATGAGAGAAAGTCCCAGAGCTTGTTGGCAGCATTGTGATCGTTGCTTACGTAATACAGCTTATTATAACAGCCTATGTACATTTCTACAAGATGTCCTACGTCAAGAGACAAAAGAGAGGTTTTCCTACCAAAATATGTACTGTTTTTGGCTCGACACTGAGGAAAATGCAGGATTTTTCTGTTAATTCTAGGTCAGCGGGGCCACTGGGGAGCTCTATAAACGTCCTGTTCTTGATCATTCACATTTGATGAAGTGTGTCTGCCTTTTTCCCAGGGTCCTGCTGGACAGCGCGGTCCTCTGGGCCCCGTTGGACCGAGCGGAGCGCGGGTAAGATCGATCTTTGGACATGCGTTGTATTCACACTGTGTTCAAAGCCTAGAAATACTCAAGCACATGTTTTACATGCGATCAGCCACTTATACACGGCCCCATGTTTGATGTTGCCTCCATGTTCTCACTTACGTCAGCCAGAACCATTGAGCCACTGCCTATAAGCCTAATGTAAAAACACACACACAGGCTGATGTATTGCAGGGGTCTCCAGTGTGTTGTTATCCATGTGTGATTGTATGTTGTTTCTGCTTAGGGGCCACCAGGAAAGGAGGGACCATCTGGACCCAGAGGCCCACCAGGACCCATGGTGAGTGTGGAATTGTTTGTGTTGAAAGGAGCCAAATAAATATTCAGTGGAGTGTGCTTTATTTCCTGATATATCTGCAACAATTACTCCTCTGGCTCCACGGCACATGAAAAGCAGGCTGTAGTCTGTAGCTTCCTCCACTGTTACCAGGCTCGTGCGTGCATCTCATTTCCTTTTTCTGTGGTTTAAGGAGGTCTGAATCCACTTAATCCAGCCGCCATGCCAGCCAGTATAGAACGCACACGTACTATACCATCCTGAGTGCTCCAAGAGCCATTAGCACCGGCTGGCGAGTGTGTTTGTGTGCATGTGTGTGTTTCAATCTGTTCTTGGCAGCTTGTGCCACGTGCCCCTACACCCCCCCAACCCGCTGCAGATGCTAAAGTATAGCTCCCTACCTAAAGCTTGTTATGCAGCTATTAACAGGGAGCAGAAGTTAAATGTTACGATTACATTTACTATGCAGTCATTTCAAATACAAACCGCTTTTCTCTGAAAATTCTCCTTTTTTTTTTTTTAGGGAAATCCTGGAAATCCAGGTGTTCCAGGAATAACAGGAAAACCAGGAAAACCAGGAGATCCAGGAAGTCCAGTACGTACTGAATAACGTGGCACAAATATAGGGGTCCAGGACGTGGTACGCTTGTTCTCATGTTGTTCCTCTCATTAACAGGGACCTGTTGGCCTTAAAGGAGAGAAAGGAGAGAGGGTGCGTATCATCTTCTCATCGCTGTTTTGTAACGCTTTAGGAAACAATCGCTTCATGACAACATCTTTGTTTTCCAGGGAGATTTTGCATCCCAGAACATGATGCGCTCCATTGCCCGACAAGTTTGTGAACAGCTTGTGAACAGTGAGTCAAATGTTTCATATAACTCTGGGAATTTATCTTAAATGATATTTCTGTCCTAAATCTCTTTGATGCGTCCTCTTTGTTTGAAGGTCAGATGAGCAGAGTCGACATGCTGCTCAACCAGATTCCTTCCGGATATCGTAGCAACACTCCTGGACCACCTGGGCCTCCGGGCCCTCCTGGCAACACGGGATCCCGCGGAGAGCCCGGACAGCCTGGCCGAACTGGTTTCACTGGAAACCCTGGTTTACCTGGAAATCAAGGAGAAAGAGGTGCGATACCAACTCTGTGGTTTATCCACAATTCCAAGCAAACACTTTAATCAAGAGTCACCTCAGTTGTGTTTCATAGACACCCTGAACATTTCTCCTTTTTGCCAGATATGAGAACTTGTTTTCATTTGTTTGAAAGTGAGTTCTACTCTTTAATGTTTCTGTAGGTTTGCCAGGAGATAAAGGAGAGCGAGGGGCTCCAGGAACCGGTATCAGAGGACAAAGAGGTCCAAGTGGACCACCAGGTAACACAATTCATCTTTTTGAAGTGAAGTAGGCCATAGCGAGAAGAAAACTAGCTGCTTTAAGCTTGTTTTCTGTTGAACATTGTTTTCCAGCAGCTGCAGACAGTCTGCTGCTCTCCCACTGTTCAAATTTACAACTCGATCCTGACTCTAACACAGTTTCGCCGTGACAGCCTTTTCCAACCTTCTTGGTGGACCTTTCTAGGACCGAGTACTCCCACTGGCCCCATTAAAACGACACATTTCAGCAAGAGGCTGAAATTTACCTACAGTAACTGTGGCTCAGGATCTTTGGTTTGGGCAGCTGCGCTACATAAATTTTTTGGAGAGGCCCCAAACATTTTCCCAATTCTTTCCTTTCTTAAAGATTTATGTGATGTGTGCATATTAGATATCTACAAAGACATCCACGGTAAATGGAAAAAGAATTTTCACATGTGATGTTCAGACAGCACCCAGGACATCTTTAGACCGTGTTGCAGTTCAAGAAAAAGAGAAAATGTCATTAGTTTGAATGAGCTTGTAGTTTTCTTTAGGTGAAAATGAGATCTGGTGTGCGGCTTATAAAAGTGCTCGAGAAAGTTTCCGTTCCTTTGGGAAGTGATTCCTCAACAACAGGAACCTCCTATTGATGTCTACCCCACACCGAACACTGACATCTCTGTTTCTGTGAATGAATTGAGAAACAACTAGGAAGTCCACGCTGATGACTCACACGCACTGTGTATGTGTGTGGGTGTGAGTGGGGGGGTCAGATTGTTGTACAATGAGCTTTCTTTAGTGGCTTCATTGACAACACATGGGCTCACTTAAAGGAGAGAAAAAAGAGGGGGGAAAATTCCACCGTGAGTTTTGCTGTCTAGACAGACGGGGCCGGGGTGATTCCAAACAGCCCAGACTGCATCCCTCTCTTTAATTGAGCCACTGAAAAGTTGAAATTACAGTTCTGCTGCCCTGTGAATCCCCACCGTTTCCACAGACGGGTTGCGGATGATGTCAGTGGGGTTTTGTGCTTAGCTGTAGAGACTCCCTGCTCAGGTTGGCTTCACTCGCCTTCTCGCTCCCATTTGCAGGGCCACCCGGAGAGTCACGAACCGGATCCCCGGGGCCTTCTGGCTCCGCTGGGCCTCGTGGCCCTCCAGGTCGTCAGGGCACTCCAGGCGTGAGGGGACCACCGGGACCACCTGGGTACTGCGACTCCTCTCAGTGTGTTGGCATTCCTTACAACGGACAAGGTTACACAGGTACGCTTGATGCGCTGTAGGTCCTGCATGGTGCTACATCAGAGGAAACTCCAAGTGTATGCACGATTATTAGACTGGCAGCTCATTGGACAAATTCAATGGATGGAGGTATGAATGCAGCAGAGTGTTGATATCGGAATAAAACTATTAGTTTTGTTCCCTGGGATTCGTTTTCAGTTACTCATGCTGCTCTGTTGAGCTTTGTTGGTTTGCGTGTGACAAATTTTCAAAAATAGCAACTTTTGAAGAAGCGGTCAAATAATTTGTAACTTGTATATTTAAATACCTCCATACATTTAATGTCCAGGTTTGAAACTGGCATGTAAAGCATTCTAGCTATTGGTCAAATGAGATGCTTTTTACTTTGTTCCACAGAAAACTCACACCTTGTTTGAACTATTTTCAGGTTTTGCATAGTAAACGTTCTAAGTCAACTGTGCTGCTTACACTTTGAAGTCCCGTTTCTGAGATGTTTGGCCGTTTGCTATGGGGCATGTAAGGATAAATCGCCACGGACATGATTATTGAACATTTAAAAAGAAAAAAAAAAAACACGAATGGAGCGGACTAACATCATCTCACAGCTACAAGCTACGGTGATGGCAACCTGCTGGTCTGTTTGCATCTTGAACCACAAACCGTTGGGAGATAGAAAGCAGAGACTGAGCACTTCTACAGAGGAAGGAGCATGTACAAATACCACCCAAAACAAGTACTAACATAGAGGAGCGTTAATGTAGAGGTGACACGTGTAAATAAAACTAATGTTTTGCCTTGTAAATGATTGTATGAAACGAGACATTTCACTAAAAATCAAGTTAACATCTGTATTGAGCTCGTGCCTTGTAACCCTCTGCTTACTTACATCAGCATAACCCCTGTTTATGACGCCTGAGTGCCCTAAACAGCTCTGGTCCAGACTGAAGCATGTTTCATTTGTACTTTTTAATCATCGTGCTCTTTGTGTACATTGGTGAAAATGGTGCTAAATGTTGCTTTCCTGCTATTTCCATTTGTCTTTTATAGTATCAGCTGGTTATGTTACTATGTCTTTTTTATTCAATATCTTGTTGGGTTTTATTGTAAATGTCATCACAGCTTTTAAAACTTCTTTTTGTTACTTTAGAGAGAAGCAGTTTGACACAGGGCATTTTTTAAAGTCCACAGTGCAATATAATTTAAAATTGTGCATGTGAAAAGTTGCAGAAGCAGCCCGTTTTTTGATTGGCCATCCTCAATATGTTTCTAGCCAACCAGTACCCACCTGAACCCGAAGTAGTGAATATACCTGTGGAGCCAGCTGGAGAGTTTGAGACACGAAACCCCAGAGGAAAGCGATCGCTACCACAGGACAATACAGAAACACTAGCATCATAGCTACGTTAAGGAGCGGTCAGAAAGTCTACTATTGAATAACTTACAGGAACACTTAAGTGAGGATGAAGCGATATCCAGAGCAAAACTAGTACTTATATGGGTTTGATACCCCTGGCTATAATGAACATATATATTTTTTTTGATGTGACAAACTTTAGGAAGATGAATACAAATGTACATGTTACAAACCTGTGTGCTTGCCAAGTGTCTGCTTGTAATATAACCGCAAGTGTTAATCGGGCTTCAGTGCACTAATCGTGTAAAATCCCGTCCAGAGATGTACATCGTGTATGTTTTTGAACACTTTCCATCTACCCATGTCGTTTTCAGTAAGTACTGCCGTTTCAGTTAAAAAACATCGCCCCTGTGACATTGTGACCAATTTGTAAACCCGCTGATATTCTGACTCTTTGTAACAAGCAGCATTTCTTTTTAAATATTTTGTTTTCTTACCAAAGGTGGAATTGCATAATTGTGCTGTATATTTACTGAGGATTTCTAAGGCAGAATATAGTTGTCATTTCCTATCGATGCAGTTTCAATTTGGTTGCAAGACTATGGACATAGGATTGCTATTTTCATGTTTTAACTGCACATTTTGTGAATTCCACACAGCCTTATTTTCTTATTTATTTCTGAAACGAAAGAGGCATTTTTCAATAAAACTACTGAAAATGTAACAGTTGTTTGAGCTTTCTTATCGTTTTTCTATAAACTGAACTTTGAGTCAGAAATGTCAAAGGTCTGAGCCGCAGCTGCTGTCTGTTCGAAATTCCTCTAGATGTTTATTTGAGCGACAGAACCTGTTTTTCCTCAACATGAGACTTTCAGGAAAAGACTTTGAAGTGGAAAACTTTATTTATTTTGACAGCTAAAGATATTTTGAGCCTGTCAAGACAACGAGAAGAGAAAGAAAGAAAGAAAGAGCTTTCTCAACTTCTGAGCTACTTCACAGTCTTTAACACGAAACTGCTTGGCTTTTATCCTATCAGACTGCAACAATTAAGCTTAGAGATCCATAAGGAAACAATGTAGTGGTAACTGGGCCAATACCAGCACTGGAAAAACCCAAAGATTTATGCCCTTCAAGCATGTCTAATGGTGAAATAAGAGACGTATGAGGTAAGCAACAACTGACAAGTTTCTGTTTGTTGTGATAAAGGGAAAGCATGTCTGAGGAGGGGTTCTGCACAAATGCCACAGATAAGAGCTGCGAGTAATGTCCCGAGGTCAAGCTCGGCAACACAAACGTGGAAACATTCCACTCTGGATGTGTCTTACCTTTATTTCCTGATGATAAGTGCATGAAGGTGTAAAACAGCTGCTACATGTTACACAAAGGCTTAAGTGAAAGGACCCACAGCTGATGGTTCTCACTGCTTTAGTTATCACATGATTTCTCTATTAAGCCCCTCCCCTTTTTATTTTATAGTACTTACAGACATGTTTACTGCGACATATGGAAATGTATCCACACCTGTTTTTACGCCATACAGAGTTCACACTGCGTTTCAACATACAGCAAACACATTATCATCTCAACATCATTCGACGACGCCGTCCAAGCAAACTCTGAGGCTACATTTGCCCCCATTTTTCCACCACATCCAAATGGATACCGCGTTTCCCCCCAAACTTACTGATGCCTCACTGTAATCCACCTGGTCTGGTTGAGTTTGATGGCAATCCAGCGTCCATCTGTGTTCACTTTGTGGCCAGAGTTTCAAGTGGGCTGTTCTAGCGGTTGTTACGCACTTCTGTTTTATCTCTGGATGTCCTCTTGAAAAACAGCAAACAAAGCACTTTTTCGGCTACAGTGGGAAGAAATATTTGTAATCTTATGTAGCATTTTATGACTTCAGGGAAAAGGTTTTGGAAAATGTACATATTTGCTGAAAGGATGAACAGCAAAGCTGAGACTTCTCATACGCTCTCCAAGCTCTTTAAAACATATCTGTTCATCTGAACACTTCACGTCCTCACTTTAGGTTTGACAGCGTTTTAGTAGGTAAGCTGAAAGGCTTGGATGTGAATTGAGCTGCGGTTTGGGGAAGGCCTCGAAGGGGCTCCCGGGCCTGGCAGATCCCCGTGTTATAAATACAAGTGAAGAAGTTAAACAATTGATAAGTGGAGGGAGGGTGGGGCACGTGAATGAGAACAAACAGCTTGTAGAACTGGGGAACAAAAAAGATGAGAACTGGAAGGAGCATGTTTGGAGGTCCTGCTCCTGAAATTCTGATACTTCATCTCCAAAACAAGTTTTACCATAGAGATTGAAAATGTGACGTCATTCAGGGGTAAAACCGCAAAGAATTCTGGGAACTCGTGGCAAGAGGTACTAGCGCACGCAGGCTTTCAATTGAAATCAGTTACACAGCGATAAAAAGAAACACAAAAAATGGCAAGAAGCTGTTGTATTCTTGACTGCAATAGCCGGTCGCATGACAGCCACGGGAAGCCGACGGGTAAAGAGATCGGTTGTTATCGGATTACGTCGTTGAAGAGAAATTGTTCGAGCCATGTTTCCGAAGTAACAAAGAGGCGACGGACGGCCTGGATTGCAGCCATTCAAAGACAAAATATAACGTCCCAGAACACTCCAGCTCACATGTTAGTCTGCTCCAAGCATTCCCACAAAGGTCAGTGTTTTGTTGTAGTTAATACGTCATTTTTCTTAACATAATTGGTGATATAGGTTACAAGCAAGTCTGGCACTGAACAGAAATTGTCGCTCCTTTGTTTATTGTGCATAAATAGTGAATTGTCCTGACAGAATATTGTGTTTCGCTTCTGTTATTACCATGGTACATTGACAAAAACATATACTTTTATTCACAGGATAAAACAGGTTTTTTTTGTATCACTAATTGCCCAGTACGATTACAGCATGCAGTATTATTGTCACTGCTACATTTCTGTAACGCGTACCAGAAATTATTTCCACTACTAATTAATTACCGTTGAGCTCAAAGGTCCTATTAATAAACTGTTAGCGAATGTGTATTTATGAAGACGATTTGTGAGACTGGTAAACTTACCTTTGTTCATACGATGGTCTTTCGATCTACACGGTGCATTTCAAGGTCCTGTACCCATCCGTCGGTAAACTGTACCTGGGCTTGTTGCAGTGACCTGAAGTTACTAAACTTCATGAGTGTATGCACTCACTCCAAGAACCGTATAATTATAAATATGAGCGTGGTGAAAGTTGGGCAGCACGCTAACGTATTGTAGCGGGTCAGGGCTGTTCGGGGTTCTGTTTGTACAGTTATGTTTTGTTTATGTTGCCATAGTGACGGGTGACGCCCTCTCGCTGCGGCGGTGTGTCCTTCCGGGGTCAGAGGGCGCCCTGTGTGTTGTTGTTGCTGTGTTGTTGCCGCGCTGAGCAGTTAGCTAGCAGCAGTGTTCTTCTGCAGATGTCAATAAACGGCTGTGCTCCCTGGCTAACTCACGGGAAGCAAGACCAAACGATACCTCCGTCTCCTCCTTGTCTGAGCTCGCCACAGTATTTTGTCCACTCTGTGTGCTCGTAAGGGTCTAACCCTTTCACAAAAGATACGAGGATTTTTTTTTCCTTGTATCTTTTCTTTGACTTTTCGTCGAGTCTGTCTTTGTACGGACCGGCATTGTTCTCCTTCGTTTTGTACATAACTTTTTGGGGGGACAAAGAAAAACCAAGAATTCATTGGAACCGGAGAATGAAAGTTTTGCGGTGCTGCAAATGCTTGCATTTGATGCAGTACTTGGATTGTTTTACCACGAGTTCCCGGCATGCAATGCGCGAAAGTCACGTGGTCTGTCAATCTCTGAAGGTGGGGCCTAATGTGGGTGCTTAGAATTTCATTCATGGCTGCGTTTTATGGCTTCATTAATATTCTTAATTGGTCAGCTTCTGATTAGATTTGCTAAAACAAAACCAAAATTTAGATACAAAGTTACAATGTTCCATTCCCAGTAACAGTCCCCCCTCCCTCCACATTTAACATGTTCCCATCACTGTGAAGCTAAGTCAATAAAAGAAAGAATTAGCCTTAAAGTGCAGACAATCAAAACAAGAGTTTAAACTATAAACTGCATAAAAGGCCAACAGTCTGCAGTCAGTGACGTAAACCTGCATTTTTAAAAAGATTTATTCTCAGACTCAAAGCGAGGCTGCTACATTTTAGACATAAGGCAGACCAGCGAGCTGAACTGGTGCTCAAACCTGCATTTTTAATGGACAGTCAAGGGCGACTCATCTGGTCGTAAAAAAACTTCCATTTGTACAGAAGTCTACGGGAAAACAGCCCTCGGCTCCCGCTCTGCTCTGTGACCTCAGCCGATAGTTTCAAGTCAATGTGAATAAAATGGGAAGTTAATTTGTAAAGTATGGCCATTATTAGAGTCACAAAAGAGGACTATCCAATCCAAATGTGTCAATCAGATGTAAAAGCTAGAAAATGACATCAAAAGGTGCCGGCACCTGTGAGTCACTCATTTTCTCTCATTTCCTGTCTGTTCCGACATGACAGTGATACCAACTTTCTCATCTAACTCTCAGCAAGAAGAGAAGAAGCCAAACTCTCACCATATGCTCCATAAATGTAATAAATGTTGGGTGTCACGAGGAGACATTGATGTTACATAAAGATATGTTTTGCTTATTTAAAAACAATGCTTTGATGTTCTTCTCACAATGGTCCAATATGGCAGCGTCAAATTCCTGTGAGCTGTGTTCCATCAGCACTGGCACACTAAAATACAACAAAAATACAGACTGGCTTTAGAGAAAGAAAAACCCACCAAAGCCACTCGACCCTGTTGATTTATAACAGAGCTGTGGGAGTAAAACGTTACAGAACGCTGCAGAGACGTGTCAACTTCTTCATTTCATGGCGTTAATCACAGCATTTTATGAGCATTTAACATCATCACAATAAGAAAGGAATCTCTTATCGAAAAGTCGTCATCAGTGACTGAAAAGTAG